CATCACTATGTTCGATATTTCTAGAAGCGTAAGGTGTGTTCAGCTTAGTTTTTACAAGGAATCTGTTGCAGTGGGTGCTTATTTAGAAGTATTACGGTAACCCGGAGCTGAGGGTTCGGTTTACAGTTGTGTTTTCGGGAAATGTTGATTTCTCTTCCACCTAATATACCAGCAAAAAATCAAAATACACCCAACGTGAAATAAAATAGAAAGTTTTTTTTTAGGGATTATAAATGCCTCGTCTCACATATCATGATTATAAAATGGAAATATTCAACAGCACAAAGATGTTGAAGAAGAACCCTCATTTCGGTTGTCAGAATTTCTGCACATGAAGTTTGCAGCTCGGTGGTTTGCATCCTGGCGGCCTGCAACAAATGCCACAACTTCCCACGTCACAAAACACACACAGCAGTCTGATACAGGAACCTGTCACATTTTCCACCTGAGCACGTGGGGGAACAAGCCAATAAGTAGTTGTGTGCATGTGGGTGTTTGTCCACTACCAGTTCTAAAGATTGCATAATTCACCTCAGCCAGCCTCAAAGCTGTCACAACACTTTCAGAATAACAGAAGTTCAGCTTCCTGTTCTATTTTTTGTCTTGCCAGCACTCATGGTTTCAAACAATGCATTTTTTGTTTATCTCCTCCGACACACAAATAACTCTTGTCCGTTTTCTACTGAAAAGACGACACGATAGACTTTGAAAGTGTATTATGGAAGGATGAATATGCATTATGAAGTGGTGATTTGAGAACAGGAAGCACGGGGCACAGTGTGTTGTGTCGTCCCATGTCATATGACCGCCATACAGAGAGAGAGCAGGCTGGACAAAGACCGTCTAATAAGTTTGAAGGACTGACTGTTATCAAGTGGTCCTTCTGAGAGACTAAATTGGAGCAAAGATGTAGAAAACAGGAAGAAACAAACACAAACTGAAGTCACTATCATTTAACCGTGTGGCCTTGGAAGGTGTTAGGAGAGCTGCTTTCAGAGTCCAAGGTAAACTGAAATACAGCTGGACAAGTTTGTAAATGGCTGCCATCTTGAAGTCTGGACTTGCATCAGATGCAATCAAAACCAGAACATGTTGGTGTCTTTGTTCCCATGGTCCAGCATAGCATGCCGGGACTTTTGATAACGTTATGGAGTTAAGGCCTTGCAGTCCTGCACAAATTCCTCTGCATATCAAAGCATGCAGTCAAATATGCAGCCAGCTTTTCCTACAGCTACAAGCTGCGATGTTAACCAGTCCAGTTACTGATATGCATACTTAGGTTTTAAAAGTTTAATGCAAACACCATAGAAACCTCTACTGCCTGCTTTTATCCTGTTTTTATCCTACAGTCACTTGCATTTACTCTGCTTTTATTTTGCTTTTATTCTATTTGAATTGCCTTTGTACAAAATAAACTCACCTTTATCACCAGTTCCTGCACACTACCAGCCAGCTGACTGAAAGCAAAAACTATTGTATGTCTTCCTTTCCATTTTTCAATTGAAAACATTTCTGATCCCACAAGAAAACACATTTTTAGATGGTGCTGATTTCAAAATCTGTTTGTTTTTTGTTTTTTTGTGTGTTTTTACCATAAGTACTATATCCTTACACCCACACGTTGTAACTCAGGAAATTACATTAAACTGCCATAGATTGCACAAGATTTGCTTTTATTAAAAAAAAAAAAAAAAACTTTAAAATAATTTAATACCATCTTCATAGCTTTTGTTTGTCTAACTTTAAGTCCTGTATTGTGCTGTTTTGCTGTAATAAAGGCTTAATAGCATCTATTAAGATGTGTGGATGGAAATGCATTATAAGCCAACAGTGCATTAATAAATAAATAATAAAAGTCTCACCTTGCCAAACTTTTGGTGCTGCACATAGAGTTGTCCCTCCTTCACGTGCGCGTCCATGTTTCTATTAAAACTAAAGTCGCTCCTCCAGAAGAAAAACTAAAAGAAAAGCTTGAAGTTTAACCTGGATCACTTTTGCTGATAGGGTTTATTATCCCCTCCTGTTTCTCTGGTCCGCTCCTCAGCCGTTAAAAGGCGGTTTAGTAGGGAAGCGATGCCATGGTGGTGGGGGAGAGAAGAGGGGAGAGGGGAGGGGAGGGAGAGGCTCCAAACCAAACAGTCCAGTGGAAAGTTTAGCACTGACCGAGTCTGCTCTTCTTTCTGTCCCCTATCAGTCCTCCTGTGAGGATGCAGCGGCTCAGCAGGCAGAGCCAACGAAACACAGAAAACCACTTCCGCTTTACACTTTCAAAATAAAAGCACAACACACTGACAGATATCTATAGAAGATAACTGAAGTTTATTGATCTGACATTGGAGAAACTAACCTCTGTATTTAACCTTGGAGAGCAGTGGGCTGCAGCAGTTTTGGGGTTAATGGTTTTTGCTCAGAGGGCAGGAGTGGCAGTCTGTGGGAGAGGGGCTCGAACCCAGAACCTCAAGATTCCAAGCTCTTTTATGAAGTCATGCAATCACACAGAAAGTTATGTGCAAATGTTGGTATTTAAGAAGTAAAAAATAAAAATAAATAGTATGATTACAAATTAACAATTTAGTGCAAAAGGCATGTTTTACAAATTAATTTCCTTAACATAGAGATTACATGTAGGAAAAGAATAAACATCTGATCAACTGTTTATTTTTGTTTTTTTCCCTCTCACTATCTATCTATCATATATCTATCTATCATCTATCTACCTATCATATATCTATCTATCTCTCTCTCTCTTTATCTATCTATCCATCTATCTATCTATCTATCTATCTATCTATCTATCATATATCTATCTATCTATCTCTCTCTTTATCTATCTATCCATCTATCCATCTATCTATCTATCTATCTATCTATCTATCATCTATCTATCTATCACCATCTATATATCTATCATCTATTTACCTATCATATATCTATTTATCATCTATCTATCTATCTATCTATTGCCCAGTTTCCTTTATTCTCTTTGACTAACCTTAAGCATAGAAAGTACCTATGGCTCATTGCTTTACAATATAATGTCATTACAATATTGATCCATTGATTTAGTGTTTGTCAGTCCCTCTATCTTTCCTGTATGGAGCCGTCATTGTGGCTAATGATCCTACTATCTTTAACCATCTATGTTTTTATTTAGCTCAGGGCCTCTGTGTTTTCTCAGCGTATCTCCCCAGCCCCTTGTGGTAGAAGTACTCTCACTATGAACCCGGCTTTGATGGAGCTTTCTTCCCTTTAAAAGGGAATGGTTCCTCTCCAATGTCACCGAGATTTTCTCGGATTGAGAGGTGGCAGGATAAATGATTCAATGCATTTGGCCAGACTTCCATGTCAGCTGATACTATGAACCACATCAGAAAAGGTAAAAAAAAATAAAAGTATCACTTTGGGGAACAACGTCATGGTGAAATGTGGCATTGATTAACCTGCAATCACAAACGACAAAGATTAGTGCCTGAAAAAGACTCTTATTTAGAACTCTGTGCCCATATCTGGTATCATCTTGTTGCATATAGCATGACTAATATCTCTGCCTGCAGCAGGAGTGTGAGCAGCAGCAGAAACAGCATGCTCTGCTACTTCCCTCCACCCACCTTCTCACTATTGTGTAACTTCTTCTGATTTCACCTCCGACACACTCACTTTTCTACCTAATCGTTTGCCTAAACTCCAATCAGCACTGTTTCTTTTGCTCTTTATTTGGGTCAAAACAAAACTAAGACAGTCTTACTCCCATCTGATGTTAAAAATAAAAGCAAAACCCCAGAAGGGCATCTGAACCTTACAGAAAGCCAAAAGGTTTGTCCTTGTGCGTAATTCCCCACTGCTGTAGAAATGCTGCTGCGGCAAAAAGAAATGCGTTTTGATTTGGCGAAAAATGCAGGAATTTTCAAATTAAGCAGTGTGTGTTGGCAAGTGGAGCTGCCCAACCATATTAATATGTTGCAGATGCCTCCTGTTCCTGTTGGACAGCACCGTAACAGTGATCAATCTTATTGACATTATTTTGACACTAGATAAGGATTCTTGAACGATGAGATGAGTTTGAGTTGAGGCCGGAACGTTTTATACTATTTTTTTTTTTCTTTTTGTGTTAGTGAGAATTAGCTTTGTTTAAACCATATAAGGATAAACATATCTAAAATCAGAGACTGGACAGAAGAGAGTACCACAGTCTCCATATTTAGGTTTATATTCATAACGGATCAGGCATTTGGATTAGGGTACTGATTTTAACTCTCATGGTACAAACGTGGATAACAGACATTCCTTTCAACTCCATGGAGATTTAACTTATAGAAAATCAAACTGATTTTTCCTTGACAGAAATTGAAAAACGTATGTGTCAATAAACTCGACTGTTAACAAAGTCAATATACTTAGTGTGTTTATTTTATTTTCCAATGGGACTGCAATTTTCCCTTCAAACAAGCCCCAAGTTTCAGTGTCATATCTTTGCAACGGGTTTAAATGTCCTAAGGTGATAAATTGTCTAAATAGTTAATTAAAAACATACAGAAGAGGATAAGTTAACTGATTTTTAAATGTTAGTTTAGTTTAACATGGGATATAAGTCACAATTCTGACTTTAATCTCAGAAATCTGACTTTTTTCTCGGAATTCTGACTTTTTCCTCAGAATTCTGACTTTAATCTCAGAATTCCAACATTAAGCTCAGAATTCTGACCTTTTTCTCAGAATTCAGACTTTTTTTCTGAGAATTCTGACTTTAATTTCAGAATTCAGACTTTTTTCTCTGAATTCTGACTTTAATCTCAGAATTCTGACTTTTTTCCCATACTAAACTAAAACAAAATGTAAAAATCAGTTAACTTTTTTCTATTTTTTTATAGTGGCCATAATCCTCTTCGGTACAAACAGAACAGATACTCCACAGTTAAAAATTGATCCATTAAAACTCTGTAAACTCACAAGATAACACAGCGCTGCCATCTAGTGGAATTAATGCGGCATTGCATGCAGCCGTGTTATGGATCTCGCGAGATTTGGAGCCGAGTACAGCTGACCAAAACAGGAACATGGCAACAGTGTTCGGAGGAATAGAAGGGTAAGAAAAAAGTTAAAATATCAAACGAAACACAATGCACTTTAGTTTTAAAATACATTTCTCTGCGGGAATTTAAATTCCGTGTGTTTTTTAATGTTTTTTTAGGTTTTCATATAAGAATACAAAATAAATATAGATGATTTTTCTGACACGGAAGCGTAAATCTCGTGATCATTTCGCCCCGCCTGTCTATACAGGGCTAATGTGAACTAAGTGTAAAGGAAAATGTACATAAACTCACTACATATTGTATCTTTACTGTTTCACTGGGTTTATTTTTATGGTTAGGTGTATTCATGTTAGTGGAGTCTTAATTTGTGTATTAATTTTGTGTTCCATCCAGTGGAGGGACTCATTCCAGGGCTGTGCTGCTGTCTGCAGATGGGAAGGTGCTGGGAGAGGCAGTGGGACCCTGCACCAACCACTGGGTAAGAAGAAGCACAGGTGCAGATAAACATCAGGGTTCATAGGCCAAGTCAGGGTTCCTGCAGATCCTTAAAAAGTCTTAAAAGGCATTGATTTCTTCAATATAAAATCAAGACCTTAATTGGCATTAAAATGTCTTAAATCAGTCTTTCATAGGTCTTAAAATTGTTACCACATCATAAATAGGATTTGATTTTTGTAATCTATATCAAGCATTAAAATAATCTCTTTAATTTTCTTACATGGTTCCGTCCTGATAGTGGAACCAATAAAAAAGATGTTGCTACCAGACCTTGGGGTGATGTGCCACTAACTTTTAATCGGAAAATGGGGAAATTTATATTCAATGAAAAATAAGCTATCCATCCAAGAGTTTTCTGCATGGCTAAAACCACTGCCAGGGAATGTAGATGAAGCATAATGGGTATCAAAGCAGTGGAGACACATGTGTCAAGCATGAAACTCAAAGCGTCAAAATGAAGTGATGGAGAAGCAGCAGGTATTTATCCGTTCGGACCCTTGTCTCTGCAACGCCTCCACAGCATCTCTCTCATCACCAACAGCACCAGTAGAACCAAATCTCAGGATAATGATTGGCGGTACGCCAACTATGAAAGTAGAGCGATTGAGTAGAGAACAAAAGAAAGCTAGTGAATTCAGTTCAGTAGTTTTAATAAATAGCGTTGCACTGATACCAGTATCGGACAAGGCCCCGATCCAGCACTAAAATGGTAGCATCGGTATCAGCGAGTACCGACAAATAGGGCACCGATACATTTTTAGAGCCAAAAGTTTATTCAACTAATGTTAAGCTGCATTAAAAAGTCTTGAATTTAACTTGCCTTATGCTGTAGGAAGCCTGCAAGTTTACCTAATTTAGATTCTGATCATTATAGTTTCATCTCTACCTTGTTTTTAATACATAAATAAAAAAGACGGTTTTAGAATAAACACATTCTTAATTAATAATAGTATTTTTCAAGTGGTAGTAGCCCCTAATATGCCTTTCGTTGTTGTTCTGCATCTTATAGAGTAAAACTGCATTTAAAACAAGCTGGTTTTATAGTCGGGCTGCCTTATCAGGTCATAGATATTCTGCTCACACTGCAACAACATTGTCCTTGGAGTGATGAGTGGTGCTATTTCACTCTCAGCACCCTGGCTGTTCATGTAAACTCAGGTCTGTTAACCTGTCTTTCAGCAAGCTGATACGCAGTGTGCAGCAATATGTGGGTAGCTTAGGAATCAAATTTTGATAGTTTCTTTTGTTGTTTTTTTCTATTTGAGGTGAGATTTGGGTAATTTTATATAAACCGACAAAGTATTTTTTTGTTATGTAAGGATTTGTTGCATTTTAATTTTATCATTAAACTTGGTTATGTTATCTTGCTTAGAGTAACTATAGTATAGTATGGGGGGTGGGGGGCTAGCATTGTGCTTAGGTGCCAGAGGTTCTGAGTTCAACTCCTGCAGACTGCCACTCTGGGTCCCTGAGCAAGACCCTTAACCCGACTCTGCTCCCTGGGCGCCCACAATGGCAGGCCACTGCTCCCCAAGAGGATGGGTTAAATGTAGAGAATTAATTTCTCCGGTGTGAGATCAGTTATGTTCAGTAATTGAATTATTATTTGCTTCTTTTTTTTTTATATACCTCTTTTATTAAGTAAGGTGATAAAATATATGTTTACATGTATGTAAAATGTATTTAAATGACAGTTTTTAGTATAAGATTATTAAATTAGAATAACATTGATTTATTTTTAATACGACTGTCCATCGGTTTGTTACTAACCCATATACGTGTGTCCTAACATAGTTGATCGGGGTGGATAAATGTCTTGAAACCATCAACGAAATGGTCCAGCAAGCGAAGATCGCAGCAGGACTGGACCCAAACACAGCGCTGCGCTGTCTGGTCAGTCAGGCGGTTGCCAAACAACAGATTCCCTGTAATTTAAGGTGGAAATTTATAACTCTCTGTTTTTATGTGAAGGGTATGTCTCTGAGTGGGGGGGAGCAGAAGGACGCTATTGACAACCTGATTGCTGTGATGAAGAGACGGTTCCCACATCTAAGCCAGGATTACTTCATCACCACAGACGCGATCGGTGCCATGGCAACGGCGAGTGATCGAGGTAAATGTCCCATTCAGAGTTTGGATAGGTAATGAAATACTGGTCTGAATTTACTGTTTAGGGAGCAAAGGAAAAGGATAAAAGAAAGAAAAGAAAGATAGAAGGGGGGACAAGAAAGGAGGAGAGAGACAATAGAGAGGGTGGATGTATTTGTGGAAAGGATGGAAATAAAAAAAGTAAGAAAGGAGGAACCAAGGAAGGAAAGGAACAAAGAGAGATAGAACACATGGAATGAATGGAGGAAGAGAAACAAAGGAAGGACGGTTGGCCTGAAATGAAAACCTCACTTTTGAACAACAGAATAGGCAGTTAAATCTGAAAGTGTGACACTTTCCCCCATTTTCTAAGCTGATCCAGACCAGGAAAACAACCAGATCAATTCCGAGACTCTGTGTAATCATTTCCATCCTAATTAGTTACCATTTTATTACCTAAGATCATCAATTATGTCTCATATCACAGTTTGATGCTCCGAATCAACAAACTCTTGCATTTTTGCAGGTTTCTGCATACTAACTGTTGACCTTTGAAAAGCAGAACAACTCTAGTTGGACCTTCATCTCCTAATTAAAACACAGTATTGCATAGTATTTAGCTTGCATCTTCCTTTTCGTTTGCATGTAGTTACAACACGGTAATAAGCATGCACTCTTAATTGGGTGTTTATTAGATGTACATCAAAGTGTTTCACATGCATTTTACAGGTTACAATTCCTCTGATCAGTTTGTTCTGCTTTCAATGCACGTACATTTCTAAGCTAAAGAGTGATACTTTACCCTTTATCATCCACCTAGGAATGTCATCTCAGCTTGTTTATGGCCCACTATTATCTCCAGTGTTGTTTATGTGTCTCCTGTCCAGGTGGCATAGTCCTGATATCAGGAACCGGCTCAAACTGCAAGTTGGTCAACCCTGACGGCTCACAGATCGGCTGCGGAGGCTGGGGTCACCTGATGGGAGATGAAGGATCGGGTAACTGCGATTAATTCAGATTTAGCTCTTTGTTGCTCTAGGGGGAAAAAATTAACTTTTAGTTATTTTTTTTCTGCCTCTCAGCGTTCTGGATTGCTCATTTGGCCGTGAAGACGGTGTTCGATGCCAAAGACAACCTGGTGGCGCCGCCTCATGACATCACACATGTTAGAAAAGCCATGGAGGAGTACTTCCAGGTCAGCAGAGATCATCAGTGTTTACTGAGAGCGTGAGAGTGGAGCGAGTCAATAAATAAAACCTCATTCACCCCAGGTGTCTGATCTGATGGGAATGCTGCCACATCTGTACAGAAACTTCCAGAAATCGTTCTTTGCTGGTTTCTGCAAAAAGCTGTCTGAAGGTAATTAGCACTTTGGTTTCCTGTCTGGAGGTTTTTTTTTTTTCTTTCTGTTTGTTTGATTGAAGCAGGTGAAATTTTTGCATCAAAGGTGCAGAAGCCGGAGATGCTCTCTGCCAGCATGTGTTTGCCGAGGCAGGGAGAGTCCTGGCTAAACATGTAGAGGCCGTGCTACCTGCAGCACAAGAGGTAACCAACAGAGCACGTACGACAAATGTCACATGATATGCATTAAGTCAGATAAAAATCACCAACTTGTTGACTTTTTATTTGGGTTTCATTGATGTTGGTATGTTATTTTAAAAAGAGGGAGGAAATGGATTCATTGCTTTTCATTTAATAATGTTTATTTCCTACTTTCAAGGAACCAATTATCTGTAGAAATCACTAAACTATTAAATTCAGACCAGCTGTGTGTAAAAAGGGGAGCTGGAGACCTAAGAAATACTATTGTTGAAATATATTATTACCCCAGGCTCACACCGACTCCGGTCTTACCGTTGCGGTGCGGTGGGTGCGGCGCCGCAGTGATTCCAAGTCATTAAAAAGACGTAAACCTCTCTCACCGGCTGTTGAGCTGTCCGGCTGCGGTTACCGAGACACCCCGGCGCTGCAGAAAATTCCGCAAGAAAGCTATCCTTGCGGCGTGCCGGAGCCCTCCGCAACAAGCTCTCGCAAAAATCCTTTATTTGGGCCGTGTTATCGCGTGAAGTTACGTGAACTCAAGTGAACTTCTGTTAAATCTCCGGACCTGTTGCCGGAGCCGCAGAGCCGCACCGCACCGTAGTTAAAAGGGCGGTGTGAGAGGGGGTGTGCGGGAGTTGCGGTCTCCGTTGGCTCGGTAACTGCACCGGAGCCAGTGTGAGCAAGGGGTTAAACTTAAGCTACAGAAGGTTTAAAATAGTGTATAGCATGGTAGGGGGAGTATCATGTTGTAGGGACCTAATTCATACCAATAATAGATATAGACCAGTAGATCAGCCGGCGGGTATTTTGTACCAATTTGGGCGTATTTTGTTTGCTTTTTTTTTCCTTTTCTAATTGCTTTGTCTAATACTAGTGATGTTCAATATCACTAATATCCAATCTGGTACTGATTAAAATACAGGCTGGTTTTGGTGATTCCAATACCGATACTTTGTGCAAATACACCTGATGTACTTGCTAAGTGCACAAAAAGAACCACCATTTTCACATAGTGTGTGAAATGACCGTTGAAATAAATATCAGTATTACTGTACAAAGTTTTTAACGCATGCATTCTGAAATATGAATTAAACAGTTAAGGGAAATTGGACTGATTTGATCAACAAAAGATCCATTTCATAATCTGTTATTTTTATAACTATCTAGTTAATATGATCCGGTTTAATTTATGAATAATTTCGGAGGTCTGACTTCATTCGAGCCTTTCTACCTGTGTAAGATTACCATAGTAATAGACTCTGCTCCAAGCTGACTGCATTTGTTTAATGCATTTTTATCTTTAATTTGTGGCAGTGGTAGCGTTGTGACACCTGCGGTGGCTTGTTGGGCTGACACGGCTTTAGCACTGTCTGGCACGGCGTATTACTGGCAGCAGCCACTGGGCTGACAGCCTGCCAGATCGGCTCCACGTTTACTAACACCGCTTCCGCTGCTGCAGAAGCCGTTTTTTGGCAAAGAATTTACTTAAAGTACCTCTTAGTAGATTGTTGTTTTAATGTTGTGATGTTATTGCTCAGTAAACTGCATTAAATCTTTTATAAAGTCACATTTACTTGATGGAACAAAGTTGTTCATCTGCCAATAAGTGGCCAGTGGCACCCGCCACTACGCTGCCACTAGGGGGACAGTCTCTGCTGGCATCTCCCACTAGCGTGACAGTCTGGGTGTCCTTCCAGACTTTAATCTGCCAGTTCATCTAGTAATAAGTGGCGGATGCAACTGGCCACTTATTGGCAGATGAACTACTTCGTTCCATCAAGTAAACGAGCCACCGCAGGTGTCACAATGCTGCCAAGCATTGGGCTTGTTGTTTCTCCTTATTTAGTAAAAATTCTAATTAATACTAACCACTCAGACAGTAACAGTGCAGGGGGGGCATTTATCGTATCGTTTATCGCTATGGAGATCAATTTCTAGCCATGAAAACACTTTAGATTTATCGTCTGAACAATAAATGTGTCTGATGCCTTCTCCAGTAGAGGCAAACTCCCATGAACCATCGAGCCCTACAAAGGGTGTGTTGCTCCAGTGTGTTGTCAAGGCAACAGTGCATTGGTACAACAAAATATGGTGATACCTTTTAAGGTCGTATCGTCCAGCCCTGCATATGGTGCTCTCCTCCCTCCAACTCATCATGAACTCAGCGAATTCTATGTTGTCATTTAACTGGAGGTGTTTCAGGAGGTTGCTTCGCTACAACTTCTATTGAAGAGAGGAAGTGACTGAGCTGCAGCAGCATGCTATTCTTGGCATAACATACTGAAGCATTACGCATTCACCTGGCGGAACGAAAAGTAGTTCCCAGCAAACCTCTGCATTTAGATTATTTTCTGGTTGTAATCATAATAACCGTGATATCGATATTAGAACCTAAAATTGTGATATAGATATTTTTTATATCGACCCGCGCATCCGTTGGCCGATTCATAAGTGTATTCAGCTGCCATGTTTTGGGATCTTTTGCTCTCCATTGTTAATGTTTCATTTGATTTGTCAATAAATGCTTCTCTTTTGTTCATACACAGATTTTTTTTTAATATTTTTTTATAATTTTGTAGAGAAAAAAGCAACAGGGGCTTCAAAAATCATCAGCGCATATTGGGCGTCTTTTAGACTTTTTGTTGAAATGGGCATTTAAAAAAATCTTTATCAGTTAATTTCTTACTGATAGTCGGACATCCTGGAAACTTCCTACAACCGGAGCTCCAATGAAACGGTTTAGAACAAGGCGTATTCACGTGTTCTAATGGTCCAGTTAAAGTCGCTCCTCACATATGGTCATTTTAATTTATAAGTATTTCTGCATTTAAACTGGGAACTTGAAGTTGTAGAGAGAAATAAAATAGAGGTTGTGTAACTAGATGTTTTTTCTAGCTTTTTTAAGCTAAAATAAAAAATAAAAATTACACATCTTCAAATTATTGAGTACAAGTACCTCACATGCCTTCCCTATATATATTGTGACTTAGCTTGAAACATTTGGCAAAAACTGAATGGGTGTAAGTTTTATTCCTTTATTCTTTGTAGAATAGTTTACCCATATATTTTAGATACTTTTAGATATTTCTGTATTTATAATTAAAAAAAAACATACATTGTTTATTGCATATAATTTCACATGAATGTTTCTCTTCTGTCTTTCTTTCCAGTCCTTATTTAGTGGTGAACGGGGCGTCCCCATCCTGTGTGTGGGCTCTGTGTGGAAGAGCTGGTCCCTGCTGAAGCCTGGTCTGTCTCTCTGTTACTGAAGCTCAGATACACTTAGATATTCTCTGAAAATCTACAGTTTGATTTTTGTTTTCTCTCTCTCTTCAGGGTTCACAGAGGTCATGGGGAAGGCTGCATCGTCTGCCGGCTTGAAGGGGCGTTTTCAGGGCTACAGCCTCCTGTTTTTGCAGCAGTCCTCTGCCCTCGGAGGTGCCAGCCTCGGCGCTCAGCATTTAGGCTCCTCAATCCACATGGATTATGACGCCAATGCAAAAATCTTCTATCAACACTCCTTTAACAGCAGCCAGTGACAATAAATCCAAAAGGCCACTTTATGATTTTTAAAAACACATTGCTCTGACTCCAATCACAATGACTTGAATCAAGTTGCTGTAAGTTCTTGCACATTATTTCAAAAGATACCCCAAAAGAAGATTTAAAAATAGCTGAAATCATGAGGGGTTCTTTTTATCTTCACAGTTCCTGTAACAAGAACTGAAAGTACTATCATTACATTTACAAACTTTTTTTTTCTACCTTGGATGATTCATGTGCAATCATGATTTTTAATAATAAACATGCTGCAGATTCTCCAGATGTGTGCAGGACTTGAGAGATTTTACGGCTTAGTTCCTGCTGCTCTACCTGAAGTTATATGATTAATAAAGATCAGATTAGAGCAATTAAACAATTTAAAAAACGTGCCGTCAACTTTTATGTATCATATTGATTCATAATATTTATACGGTTTATAAAAAAGCTTGTGGTTTATGGTGAATGCTGATGACTAAGCTCTGTTTTTACCACCATTGTCTATTATTTAAGGTTGTACTTTAAGGTTTACACACAAAATATCCTAAAAAAGCAGGTTATCATTCTGTGATGTTAGAAATTTTGAAAAAAGGGATGATAATTAGTATCCATCTAATGGGGCACTTGAGCTAGGACAACATTTAAAGCACAGCAGGCCTCATTTACTTCAGGTAAGGTCGGTGTTCTACTATAAAAAAGATATTGGGCAACAGTGCCTTCCAGAAAAGAGGTCAAACGGCGACCATTGCCGTTCATGTATAGCACAAAGGGAAATCTCACATTTCCTATAAAACATTCTGATGATCCAAACTTTCTTGTGGGAAAAGTTCTGTGGACTGAAAAGACAAAAGGTGAATTTGGTGAAAATTAGATAGTAGATCTATTGTTGAATACACAACTACAAAAAAAATAAAATAAAAAGATACTTCCAGTCAGAGGTGGTGGTGGTAGTCTAATATTCTGCAGTTCTTATGCTGTTGAAAGAGCCACTATATATATATATATATATATATATATATATATATATATATATATATATATATATATATATATATATATATATTAGGGCTGCAACTAACAATTATTTTGCAAAATGATTTGTTTATTATTTTTTTTCAATTTATAATCGGATAGTAAAAGGTTCCTTAAAGAAGAATTTTTATGAAATCAAACCAAGTAAAACTAAATCTTTTCCACTTGAGCAATTCTGGATAGAGAATATTGACAGACAAAAAACATTTTTATTTTAAATGCAAATGTTTACACATTTTTTTTTCTACAGATTTGGTATAACTACTGCTTTAACTTTGTTACTCTTTCAGAAAAAGGCATGTTTTGCAACCTCTACTCCAGTTAAAAATCGATTACTAAATTATTTGACGGTTATTTCAAAATCAATTAATCTGATTATTTGTTTCAGCACTAATATAAATACATATATATATATATATATATATATATATATAAAGTATATTTCAACTGGACAACTTGCTGTGATTAATGGAACAATGAAAGGCTCCAGCGTGGTTAGTGGTTAAGTGGTTAGTGATCCAAAGCAATACAGCAAGTTCACCTCTACACCCCTTAGAAGTAACCAGCTTTCACACAGTGGCCTCGTCACAATTTGGACCCAGGTCTTTATTGACTTTATGTCCCATCAGGGTAATCCACAAATGGCTTTCAAAGCAGGGTAACATCTGGTCTCTACCTGCCTGAATTCATAAAATAAGAATGAAAAACATTGATATTTAATTGAATTTGTTAACTCTAGGTTAAAAAAAAAAAGCACCTGTACTGGCTGAGTAGTCATTAAGATGTGATGGAAGCATAGCAATCATATTTAAATGTAAACACCCATAGAGGATGATGGGGATAAACCTTAACTGTCATTCTGTTAGAGCTTACTTCACACGACAAGGAGGATCTGCCAGCATGTATACCTGGGCTCGTCAAATGGTAAATATGTTATTATGTTGTACACCGGTGCCTTGTTTTCAACTGGTTGTTAAAGGAAATGGACAATCTTTTATTTAACTGGAAATCAGATAGACTTTAGAGTCAACTTTGAATTGAACAATACATTTGGAAAAGTAAAACACAGAACCATCAGTTTATTTCTGCAACACTTCCAGAGATGGGGTTGGATTTATTTGTAAAGCTGCAGTGCTGAAGTTTGTCCTGATGGTGGCAGCAGAGAGCTTAACGTCAGAGGCTCGGCTAATCTGAGAAGCTAGCTAAAACAAACCGTTTGTTTAAACTAGCTTTTAACATTTTAACGGCCATCATTTTATATATTTTCATTAAAAAATATATTGATATAAATAGTTGATATTTATATATTTTAAATAAAACATGAAAGATGCTGTTTAAATTTTTTATGTTGTTTATTTTAAAGTAAAACTTAACTGTCAGTAACTTTTTCAAAATAAACACATTGTAGAATTTACTTATTTTATTTATAATTTCTTTATTTCATTTTTCCAACAGTGGGGTAATTTAGCAGCAAGAAATTGAAAAGATTACACCAAAAAAAGAAAAAAATACTGTGCATTTAAAAATCTTATACCCTGAATGAAATGTAACGTTATTAGAGAAAGTGTATTTTAAATATAATTTTCTGCTGTGTCTGCTTCTTAGTGTCGTTTGTAGGTGAAATGTACAGGGGGGGGCAGACTGGGGTCAGTGTTTTTTCATGGGGCCACAGAACAGAAGAAAAACTACCTAAAAAACAAACAACAAAAAAAACAGGTCAATACTCATCATTTAGAATATTAACTGAGTAATAAAGCCAAGGATGCAGACTCCTGATTTAAAATGAAAACTATGATCTATCTTGGAACAAATGAAGCTTAAAACTGAATGCAATCACTAAATAATTCATAAAGTAAACTGTAAAGGTGGAATTTTAAATTGGTCCAATGGATAAAACATTCACAGTCTCTTCTGTAAGCGCTTATCATAAGAAATTAATATATCATTACATTATTTGAGCAGGTACTAGTATATTTACTCTAAAAATAAGACCATTGGATATTATGCTTTTGAAGTAAGTAAATTTGTTGTTTTTCTCTCTTATTTTGAATGTCCATCATATCAGATTAGGCAAATTGTCTAACTTATGCGCTCAAATGAAGGGAAGATCAAGAGACCTGAGGATACAGAACGCAGGAAAACTGCTAAAGCTTTTGTAATGTTTCTAACCAATTGTTTTTTTTTTCTAGTAATTATTTGATCTAAAATTCCTTTAAACTAAGTTCTTTTGCAAATTGATTAATCTGTTTGTTTTTTTCACTTAACTGATTAATAATCACACAGCCAAATGTTCCTTTTAAAAAAATTAAATCATGTGAAACTAAAACTTTTCCACTTGAGTTCTTGATACAGCATATGGACAGACAAAAACGTTTTTTTTAATCTTAAATTCAAAATTTTTGAATAATTACTGCTCTACGTGGATCGCTCTGTCACCTAAAGACACATTTCAGAGTCTCTATACTCCAGTTAAAGAATAATCGATTACTAAATTAGGTTATTTCAATAATTGATTTATCTGATTAATTGTTTCAGCCCAGTTGGGAATTGTTTATTTTGAGCTTGGTAGTATTTTTTTTTTTTGTGTGTGTCTATCTCCTAAGTGGTGGATTAAGCTTTTATATTAATTAAAGCATGTTATAACAGCCATCATGCAATTTTCCAGTTGTTGGTTTTAAGTTGTCTTTATTTCTGGATATAAATTTCAGTCAAAATGCACACGTTTATTATTTTACTTTTTTATTTGTTATATTGTGCACACTCTAAAAGTCCATGTTCCTCCTAGATGTAATTACCTAGATTTCTATTGCATTTTTTATGTGTGCTTTTGTAAACTCTTTTAAATATGTGTCATTATTACAAATAAATAAAACATGAAGTTTGACTCCTTTAGTCATTTCTGTACCTTCTAATGTTCTATTTCAGAGTATGCAGGCTCTAGATAATCCTTCATTGAAATGCCTTTTTCAGATATTTGCTGCATGTTTTACATCTTCCTGTTGCCTTTTTAAACCTCCTGTTTTCTCTCAGTTTCCCAGTTCGATACGCTCAGAGCATTTCACCACCACCTACAGCAACGACTTTAAACCATTCAATGAATGCGAGCAACACCTGAAGCCTGGAGCTGAAGCTGTAGCTGAATTAAGCAGCTCCTTTCCGGTTGGTCCAGATATCCTGAGAGACAAACAGGTGATTATAGAGTCACTTTTTACATCAATAATTGTTGCTGTTTTTGCAGCCTGAACATAAAATGCCCCCTGTGTTTCAACCCCTGCACATGAGAACCAACATCCCCAATGGCTCAGCTGTTGGCTTTAAGGTAAGCAATCAGTTTTAACTGTGCTCTATGTAAATCCATTTATTTTCCCTCCATTTATCCACCATTATCTGCATTTAACACTCATATGTTTCCCAGCCTCCCCCCTGTGTCGCCCCTCCTATCTTCTCGCCTGCATTCGAACCTGGAGCTGAGCTTTCATTTGGTTTAAAGGATGACAGGCCACATCAGATTTATTGTGGTCGAAGGAGTGAGGAGAACTGATTGAAGGAAAAAAAGTAAAGCATTCGGGCATGTTGATGTTTAAAGTGTTTTCTTCTGCTGACAGCAGGCTTGTTAGAGCAGAAGGATGATGTGGAAAAGAGGAAGGCTGATGTTCAATACGAGGAAGGTGAGGCCACTGTTTTTACATGGTGTCTGTGCTCCTGGAGTGATTTATAAGGAATGAAAATAATTCATGTGTTTGAAATGTTTGGTCACATCCTTTATTCCTTTTATTCTTAATTGTTTTATCACCTAATTATTAGTTATTTATTTAAGTACCTTTTGTTTTTATATTTACCTCCTATCATTACACTGATATGTACTTTTCCGAGTTAGTTTTCCTACTATCTTTTGTTCATGTGCCATGGGCGGTTCTAGACGGGGGCCAACAGGAGCCAGTCCCCCTGTAGAACTGGTCCTGACCCCTTTTATGGCCCCTGTGCTAAAAACATAAACTGCAAAATTTTAATGTTAGTCACTTTTTCTTTTTAATAGGTTTGTGTCACTATAATTTAAGCAACATAATTTGCAGAAGGAATAAGAAAAATAACTATTATTTTATGTGTAGTATTCAATTGTCTTGTTTTAAGAGCAAGATTCATAATTTCTTTGGCAGATGATCTTATTTACCTGCAAATATACTGGGTTTTAAGAAACTTTTACTTTTTTCGATCAGTCTTGCAGTGTAATACCAAAACATTTTCTTATGATAATATGAGCTGGTGAAACGAGACAGTAACTGATTTGTTACTAGGACCAATCCAATGAAATACTTGAAAAATCATTTTGTGAATGCAGAAATGACCTGTTTGTCACTCATTTAATATACTAAAAAATTCGCTCTTGCTTTATTCTCTTTTTTCTTCCCTACATGTTATTCCTTTGTTCCTTGGCCCCATGAAACCCCCTCATTGTAAAAATAATCAAGATATTCTGCTGTCATGTACAGCTCGTTTAATTGTCTTGGTAATGACATGTCCTATACAAATAAACCTGCCTTCAAACCTGCACATTTTGTCACTCTACAAACCCAAACCTCAATCTCTTGTTACACTTATTGGGATTTGACCTGATAGATCTTCACAAAGTTGTTGTAGAACAGCAAAGCTCATGGAAGGTTTTAAATTAATGTTATAAGATTCGAAATCTTAAAATTGTAATGAGCATATCCATTCACCCCCTTTTAGTAAATAAATGCGCTTTAGTTGCAGTCCTATCTGCCAATCCCATGTTTTGCACATCTAAAATCCATTTCTGTTTTGTTAAATATGGATTTGACAGGGAAGTTTTTTCAAAAAAGCTGTTAAACACTAAGGTCTGGACTTTGACTAGGCCATTCTGGTGCACAAAAATCCTTTGCAGCGTCTGACGGGTTTCCTCACAGCATTGTTTTGTATGTAGCTCGCTGAGCAGCCTTCCTAGCCCAGAAAAAAGCCTCCCTACAGCATAACAGCACTCCATAATATAAGCTGGGAATGCTATATTCTTGGTTATGTCTAATGTTACCTTTATGTTACACATATTTGATCTAATCTGATCAAATATTCGTCCTTGCTGTGTCTAATGCATGGCTTTAAAGTGAACTGCAAACAGGACTTTTTGTGGTTCAACAAAAGCTTTCTTCTTGCAACTCTTTCCAGGAAAGGCCATATTTGCTAAGGTGCACAAGCAATATTTGTCTTATTAATATCTCTGGAGAAGCTACCTTAACCTCTTTAGAAATCCAGAAGGATGAGCATGTCTCTGTTTCATTCCTTTATTCTAGTTTAAATTCCCCATAACGTTATTTACAACCTGTCTGCTTGGTTTCCTTGATGCTGTTTGTTGGCTAGAAACTCCAAACTAGTTTTTTTTACTTAAATAGGTTACTTCTACACAGATATGTAAAGTAAACAAAGTACAAATACTTACTTACCTTACATAAGAGGAAATTTTGGCTATATTTTATTGGAATAATTGTTTTCAGAGAACTGTTTACTTTTACTCCTTCCCGTTTTTGCAGTTATCTCTACTCTCTGCTCCTTACATTTTAAAAATAGACTCATTATTTTTGTTTAATTTAAGCCAATTTTTGTTATGGGCTGTTGGTATAAAAAAAAATAATAATTTGCTTCATCTAGACAATTTATTTGTGGTTGTACTTGTTACTGCACCAGATTCTGGTTCAGCACATAATAGAATAGTTTTTTCAAGATGATGCAAAGTTCAATTTGACCCTGTAACCGTTACTTATAAAACTAAGACAATGAAGTTATCATCCAGAATTGTAGAAAATGTTTCCTTTAGTTTAAGGTAGTGCAGTAAAGCATGTCCTTTAACATTTTTGTTCTGCATTACTTTAATACTTTAAGTAGTTTTAAATTTTTACTTTTACTTGAGTAAAAAGCTTTAGTTGATACCCTCATTTCTACAAAAGTGTTTTTTTAACAGTAGGATTAATATTTCTATTTGAGTAATAGACATGAATACATTTGACGCCTCTGCTTCTACATGTTTTTGCTTGCATTTGCACATTTAAGTCTTTGATATTTCTATTATTTGTAAAAAAAAAAAAAAAAATGGTTTATCTGATACAGTCCCAACAAAATACAGTAAAGCGTTTGGTTGTAATTTTTTATTTTTTAGTAGTTTCGCAAGTATTTAATCCTTTCTTATTAAAGGGAATGAATGTAAATCTGGTCTTGAATCTATGGTGTTTCTGTTCTCACCATACAGAGGTCCCATCGGTTATGAGGACTTCCTGCAGTTTTTGCACAGAGAGGCCAAACCTTCACACCCCCTCACCTTCCCAATGGCATTCATTACGTTTATCAGACTGAGTCACAACACAGGTCATCATCTGTTCCCTGAAATTAAGCTTCTCTTATAAAGGAATAGAAATGCAAACTCTCCTTATTGGGTTTCAGGTTAAAAATAGGGCTGATCATTTATTTTTTTTTGCCAAAAATGACAAATTTAGGTAGATATAAATGACCAAAGTTATGGGAAAACACAATCATAGGATTGAACTCTTGCCTTTGAACCTTTTTGTATTGTCTGTGGTTTAATAACACTACCAATACATCCATTAATCGTCTATTCTACCTCATCTTTGCATGATTGTGGTTAGATTTCTCAGCGGTCATTGGGTGAGAGGCGAGGTTCAGTCTGACACATCGCCTTCCATGACAGAGCAAAACAGACAGGGCAAATAATCACTCTCTCTATATAGTTATTTAGCACCTTTCTTCATAAAAAATGCAAATTTCAAATCTGCACAGAATTGATCAGTCTGGTTTTCCACACCAATGTCTTTAATCTCAGGGAGCGAACCAATGTTCACTTTTAAGATTCTTAGAACCATGTTTGTCTAAAATGTAAAATCCCAATTAGAATAAGCTGAAGTTTGATAATGAATACCTTTCCAAGGCACCGCTCATTAACTCTGAACTTCCAACCTAGATGAAGTAACCAAGGAGTGGCTGAGAATCGTGAGGTCAGGTCTTGAACTGAAGAGCAGCTGTTCCTATCAGCCAACCTTCAGAGAGTGCAGTCTGTACGTTTAGAGACAACCCCACTCTTTTATCACTAATGCTTATTTTCTGACAACATCTCTGCTTTTCTCCCATTCCCAGCTGTAGGTTAAAATCTGAGCATCAAGATGTCCCTCCTAAGATCTCTCAGAGCAGCTTCAAATCACTGACTCCAGGACAGCGGAGAAGTATCCGTATAGAGCCCAGCCCAAGGCTGACAGAGTATCAGTACCAGTATTGTGCTCAGGTACAGCGGATCCTCTGCTGATGACACCATAATGTTCTCATCCCTTCTGTTCTCCTCATATCTCTCCACCAGGTTGGCCAAGCCAAAGTCCCATCCAATTTAACATCATCCTCCTTGTCACAGAACCAACCTCCCATATAAAGCCAATGAAAATAACAGCTGTCTGTTTTTTTGTTTTTAAATAACGTCTTTATCATGCTTTTTAGGAGCCAAAACAATTCATTGCTCCTAAAACAGAATGGCAGTCAGGGCTAGTTTTTGCTCCAACAAGTTCTCCAAGGACACAGGAGGGAAGCAGGAGTCAGAGCACCAGATCAGGTGGATTGCGTTTGTTTTTTTACTGAAGTAAAAGTAAAATTAACTATATTGGAAAAAATATGTTAAGCACCAAAAATTATATATTTCTGAAATAGATCTAGTTTATTTTGACCCACTGATTTTAACAGTTTAAAATAAATCTATTACTGTGAATTTTTCTGGCATTGCTTTATTACAAAGCTGCCAGACAATTGGTATGGTGTGAAACTCTTCCTACTTTTTCCTCATCCTGGTCAAAATTTACTAACAAGATGAACTCTGCATAGACACCAAACTTTCTTTCAATCCTGTCTTCGGTTCAAAGCACAGGAAATGCACACACTTATTGCTGATATTATGCACCCAAATCTGTAGATTATCTTTTTATGACATACTTTAAGCAAATTGACCATTTCTGATTTGGGAAAATTTGCAGAATAAATGTTTAAACATTGAGGTTTCTTTATCTCCTAACAGAGCTGTTTAGTGAAGCAAATACAAGCCTGTATAGTCGTTTCAATAATGCAAATAAATATATTGTAGTCACATTTGCATAATAAAAAAGGTTATCTAGCATTTTGTAAAATGGCTCGCTATAAAACAGACCTAAAGAGCTGTATTCATCTTGTTTAAACTATTCATAAATATTTATTATCCTCAATGAAAATGCTTAATTTTTCAAATTAAAACACATTTAATTAGAGATTAAAAATAAAAACAGTGACAACCTAGATTTGTCTTTAACATCTTTATTTGTCTTTTTTCATCATTTTTAACTCTATTGAATCCATACTGTGTCTTCAGATTTTTTTTTTCCTTTTCTTTTTTTAAAACAGCTTCTGTCATCTAACAGACAAAAAAAAAATAGATCTCCAAAAATGATTTTATGTTATGCGATCCACCTGGCGGACGGTCCCCACTGGCTTCTCCATTCCCCAGGGTGCCATGGTTACGGTGGTCCAACACTGTGAGGAAGTTCTCCTTGAAAAGCGTAACTCCTGTGTCTCTGCTGCTGCTTGGTTTAAAGCCAGAGAGGCGGTGACAGCACCAACTGCTTCCTGGATGATTTGCTAACCCGGGAATAAAATAATCAGAGGCTTTTGAACAATAATACTGCTGCTGCATTTTAAAGCTTACATGACGGATAAAAAAAAAAAAAAGGAAAATATTACTGCTGACTGGAACTGGAATTTCTCAAAGTATATTCCTCACAGTTTCACTGATTTTATATTGAAAGCCTGAAATCTAGAAGGAAAATAAAACCCTGATACACACAGAGTTCTGGTCTAAAAGTAGAACTTCACCCAGAAAAAAAAAAAAATTTTATATATATATAGAACTGAATATGTCCTTATCCAATAGGAATAAAAAGAATGGCCTGGATGCATCATATGTTTATCTTTAACAGGACATATTGGAGACCACAGTAGGGACCAACAGCTCATCCTCAAACACATGAATGGAGAAGAAAGAAAAATAAAATAAGGAGACAAAATTATCTGAGAGCCTGATCTGGATACGGACTCTAAATCTGAGTAACTGAGGCGGTCCAACGGAAAGAGGCAGCTGCTGCGTTTCAAATCAAACCAGTCCCCCAGCGTAACAAAACTGGTCCCCAGAAGAACCCAATCTGAAACCAAGCATGAAGCCGTCAGCAAAATAAACTATAACAATCTAGATTTTTTTCTTCCTTTCAATAAACTCAACTTGATGCCTGATTTAGACGTTAACCACCTCGGCTCTTCTACATTGGACAAAAAGATAAACCTGGATATCCATATAAAAATCTAAAAAATAATCTGTCATCCACGATTACAGCTGTCCATGTCTGCTCTGATAACTAAATGAACTGCCAGGTGGGCGGGGAGAGAGAAGGGGGTCTTTATTTGTTTTGAAACAGAGCCGGTGCTCAGCTTTCATCACTTTAAATGACTGACTGCTTTACAAAGCAGGTGCAGAACTTTACCGGAGTTTCCTGAAATTCTTGTCGTTTTTCTAGCTTGTTTGCTGCTTAAACCCTCTTCCTACTGAAAATGGTTTTGCCCATAAAAAAAAAAAAAAAGAAAGAAAGAAAAGCAGTTAATGTTGATTGGAACATATTTAACATTTCCGTAAAGCTTTTTTTCAATTAAAGTTTTGACCTGGTGTCGCTTCAGGTAGCTGCCAGTTTCCAGGAAACTACAGTGTGCCCTGCCTGCTCTGTAAACGGCAATCTATAACATGTGAAATAAGCGATGAGCTAGCGTTAGCAGGAGGGAGGTGCTGGTACCACACCCCTGATCTGAGGCCAGTGCCCCTCAGTTTACAAGAAACAAAACAAAACAAGCTGAAAACAAAAAGATCAAATAGGAAAAAGAAAGAAAAGGAAAAGAAATCCCCCCACCCCCCAACTGGGCCTGCCGGCACGCCACTGACTTTAAATGTGTGTGTTTGTATGTGTGTGTGTGTGTGTGTGTGTGGAACAATAAGAATGTGTGCGGCCAGGGCCGTAAGAGTCTCTGGATGTGCAAGGGCTCATGAGTGCATGGAGGCCCCATGGGGGTGAGGGGGACTTCTAGTATTTCATTCCTGGCACGAATTCCTTCGCCTCTGGATTTAAGATGCTCTTCCTCTGCAGGAGGAGAAAGGACACGATAAAAACACTTTTCTTTAATTAGATTGTTAGCGATCCACACTGCAGGAAAGAAGGGGGGGGACTCACCGCAACCTCCTCCACGTTGCTGTGATGGTCGCTGACCGACAGCCCGTTGAGTTGCTGCTGCAGCTGGCCGACTCCCTGGTTGTTGAGGTCACGCGAAGGGATGAACCAGTCCTGGTCTTCCTCTTCCAGCATTTCCTGGAAGCAACGCTCCAAGAACTCCTGCTCCAGCAGCTCCTCTTCCACCTCAAATAAAAAAAAAATGTATACAATTCATTACCTTCATTTAGATTCCAATCTTACCAACATGTGTGTTCTGATCTACAACAATAACATTTTAGAGCAGATCGACCAGAGTCATGACTCAATATAATAGAGGGAGTTCAAGATTAAGGCAACAAATTAAGGTTTCCACCATCAAAGATAAATCCTCAAACCATCAGCAGATACATGGACATTCCAGTTTGCTAATAAAACATTTCTTTCTAAATTAATACATCTACATTTTTAATCAAGTTCTAATAAAAATAAATCTGCCCTGGCTCCATGGCTCTATAGGATGCGTTTACATCATGTTATGTGAACACACCTGTCTGTTATACTCCTCTTCATTCTCCATCCACATGTACTCAGCAAACGGGTTGGCGTCAGGACTGTCACCTGCATGCCCATTGGCCACCGGCTCTTTTCCTTCCTTTCCTGGCGCTCCGCCTCCCGGTGTGTTGGCGACCTCGGGACCGCTCATCTCAGCTGGCTCTGTTGGCAAATCACAGCAGAGACTTACTGCTGGCGTTAAGCCTCCTCAAGGAAGAACAGAAAAAACTCCTACGGGGTTCCGATCAAAATGTATTATTCTTTTCTCATTAAAAGGATGAAAACCAAATTGTTAGGAGAAACTGCTGGGATAGACGCTGTTCAGTGAGCCATTTAAAAACCTATGCTATTAGCCAACCAACTAGATGAAGTCGACATGGAGTCGCTGGCATTTTGTTTACCATCTCCAGCCTGCCGAGAACAGTGGGACGTTGATGCTGCCGTAAAATACACACATTTCATACAGCACCTTTACAGATTAGGCTAATGGAAAACAAGCAGATGAAATGGTTAAATAAAATAAAAAAAAAATAAAATAAAAAACAGGAGGAAACTGGAATAGACAGGAAATACAACAGCAATAATTTAGGGCTTGATCACTTTGCAAGAGAAAACTAGTAATATTCAGCGTTGGGGATAAAAGCTGAGCAGCATGGAGAGTCACCGTCTGTAATTGCATTCAAAAATGCTGAAGCACGTTCAAACTGGACGGGGCTCAGATGACTCACTTCATTTTAGACACACAGATGCTTCATTGAAGCAGATCTGAGGCCAAAGGTTTAACATTAAAGAAAAGGTGATCTGACTTGCAAATACTGCATAAGAGCACTGCTTTAAATCAGCTTCATAAACTAACAGGACTTCAATGAATCACGTTCCCTCAAATAAACTACCGGCAAATATTGCTTCCTTTTTCCCCCCCAAGCCTCTGCAGATTTCAGCACATGGTGCAATCTTGACAAATGGTATGAGTCATGTGTAATCGTGCAACATCCTCTGATATTTTTCTTAGAAAAGTGATTTTACAAAGAAAAAAAAAAGCTCTCTAATGGTCAATCTACAGTTGAATATAAATTCTCGGAGGGAATTCTTACTTAATGGAAAAATAAGCTTTATCAGCTTAATCAGTGGAGAACAAATCAATATGTAATTGAATCATTCTCCACCAATTAAGCTGATAAAGTATAAATGCGAACATTTTAAGGCAGAAACAATCAGAATAATCGTGATTAAAGGATTATTGAAATTGCTAACTAATTTAGTAAGCGATCGTTAACTGGAATGTAGACTCTAAGAGATCCTTTAGCTGAAAGAGCAACCCACTTAGAGCAGTAATTATAATAAAAATTGTTATATTAATAAAATTATTTCACTCTGATTTCCTAAAAGGTCTTCTTTAAAGAACGTTTGGCTTTCAAATTATTAAATTAATAATAATAAAACAAAAAGACAGATTAATGGATTGGCAAAATAATTAGTTGCAGCACCAAACTAAATCAGTTTAAGAAAACATTAAGCCTTTTTCTTATATTATCAGGCTACGTTGTAGTGGACGAGAAGGCAATATTACCTAAACTAGTCTACATAAAGGCGTTGTGTCAAACTCTAGTTGTGTGAACCTTTACATGCACCTCTGTTTAAACCTAAACACACATAGTGAAGTCAATGGCAGGACACGAGATGTATCAAAAGAGTTGCAAAGCAGTCAAAGGATGAAGCGGTATAAAGTAGGGCTGTAGGGAGCGCATGCAGGGGTTAATGGCAAGCGGACAGTCAAGACAAACCCACCTGGAGATTTCTTAAAGCTGCTTAAACTAAAATTATAAAACTATGTCCCACCTTCCATGTTTTTTCCCCCTCTGTGAATCTGTGTTTACATAAACATTAAAACACACCAAGATGATGTTAAAAAAATATATATTAAAAATTATTCTTTCATAAGCATACATGGAAATATTACCATGTTCCATTAGGGCTGAAGCTATTTTTTTTGCAAATGCAGAGATCAATTAATCATCCAGTGGAATATAGTGACTAAAAAACATGTTGCTAGCTCACTAGCTAGTTAACTCTGATTGGTAAGTTTAAAAATGTGTATTCTAGGCAGGTGTATGCAGTGTAAATAGATTGATTAGTCAACTACTAAATCAATTGTTGTTCCAGCCCCAATATCGAACTCTTAAAAACTAATACGATTAAAATATAAAAACTTTTTTTTTTTTTAAATAAGCCAATCTTAAAATAAAGCTTATAGTTCAATATAAAGGACATGTGTTAGCCCTACAACAAAACACTGATAAGCAGGTGAATACATACTTTTAGTGTCTGAAACAATCTGTAAGGGAACAGAAAAGGAAAACATCAAGTTCCCCTTCTGGCTGGACTTCCTGCTCTTCCTTCAGTGGGACTGTCCCTCTCTTATATGGGATATTTCCATATAAAATAACACTAAAGGTTCAAACCAAACCCACAGTCATACAAATAACCACTGAAACCCCCAACTAAAAAAACAACAACAACAAAAAAATTAAAGATGCTGGGGCTTGATCAGTTATCTTAAGCAAAGGTATAGTATTATTATTTAGATGAGACATGCTATAATGATGACATCAGTGCTACAGACGAGTCATGACTCAGCCACGGCGTCAGAGGGTTGGGGACAAGAAAAAAAAAAAAAAGGAAATGAAGCTTCAGGGCCAAGCTGACACAGGGAATGCTTTAGCAATGTTTGATCTACAGCAGCTATCAGAAAGCATCACATAATAGGTTAACTGCAAATTTAGAAATCTTTCTCCATGCACTTTTTGTTCAAGTTCATTTCAACACCATCACAGAGTGCAGGCAGCAACACAGAAGGACAAGCTGTTTTTCAGCAGGACAGCGTGAATAAACACGTGTAATCTAAGTAGGTTAGCGGACAGGGAGAAGCTGTCTGGTTATATCTGTGTGGAGCAATAAAGACGTTTAATTATCGAGCGCCGCAAAATAAACAGGCTGTTAAAAAAATACATATTTATATGCGTTAAAAAAAGAAAACAAAAAGGGTTAAAGAAAGGAGAAATTACTTTAAAGAAAACCCAACAAGTAATTGAATGAAACTGGGTCAACTGGTGAGGCTTCAAAGATGACAAGAGAAAACAAGTGATAAAAATAAATCCCAGCAAGTTTGAACCTGAAAGAAAACTACAGGAAAAAATTATTTTAATATTTTATTACTAACTAAGTGAAAACATGTAGCCTGCTTGCATACATATATCTTGTCGTAATGTTTCTTTACGACAAGAGATAATTAGTCCTGCTTCTAATGCTGTCGACGTGGAGATTTTCACTTTGCACCTGAAATGTCAGGGTAGTTTATATATGCTGGCAGAGGAATTATACAATGCGTATACAGCTTTTTTTTATTAATAAAAAAATGATTAAATGTTTCAGAATTCACAAAGGAACCATCTACAGTCATTTCCTACAAATATATTTACATATATATATTTTTTTTCCATGTAGTTGTTATATGGGGGCTATGAACATGTTTTTTGAAAACCTAAACAGTCTTCAATGGGTACCAAAAACAAGAAAAAAAAAAATTTATAAATGTTTACCTTGCCATGAGGGTTTAGAAAATTTAAATAAGCACAATTATTTTAACTTGCATAAACTGATAAACACTTAATCTAAAACCAAATATATCATACCAAACAGCTAATCACTACATCGGTTACAGTGATTAGTGTAATTGTGCTTATCGAAATAACATATTTATCTCTTTTATTATAGACTTTGTAAAAACTGCAAGGAATCAACATAATGTTGGTAACCAGGGTTACCAGGGTAACCTGCCATGTCATTTAGAGGTTCAGTTAAAGTACAGTAAACAGTATTTTTTTATCATCAACTAAAACATTGAATTATTATAATAGGGAATATCTTTGAAAGCACCATAACTATGTTAAGGACAATAATGTATACTTTATCTAGGCTTAAAGGCACTGTCTACTGACATTATCAAATAGTACCTTTTCTTACATGTCATCATCGATATTATAAAGAGTATTTTGAGGCACTTATGACAGTTTGTTAATATTAATCAATAACCTTACCAGAAAAAATGACACTATACCATGTTTAGCATATTTTAAATCTGATCATAAAACAGTACAACCAACCTAATTACTTAGAGGATACTATGGTTTATATCTATTTCTCTATTAAGTTTATACTTTTAAACTTTGCATAGCGTTTCTATATTAAACCTTGTATGATTGTTGAAGTTTCAGAGCAACAAAAATAAACACCTGGATTAAAAAAATAAACATTTTGCTTATTTAACATTTTTCAAAAGAATTTCAGAAACATTTCCGAGTATTTTTTGTTGTAATGTTTCCGAAGGCTAATTAAACTAAGAGGAAAACTAAAGTATGAGACGAACGGACTCGAGCAGGAACCAAAACATAAGTTTGTGATCTGTCCGTTTTAGCTAAAAACGGTGGGAATAAGCGCCTTTCTAACAGTTTCCATGATGTAACCGAGCTGCATGTAACAGGAGCGGTGTGGGCCTTTGCTAACGGGCTCCACCAGGTGTAAAGCTTCCCCCTAAGCAGCCTGTTGTGAAAGGATTTAGCTGTGGGTAATGCTCGGAGGCCAGTTGTAAACACACTGTCAGTGGACAGGGGCCTAAAAGGTGAGCAGCTATCTCAGCAGCAACAAAGAGCACAGGGGGCTGCTTCAAAACTATTCCCCCCCTCAAAGTAAAAGAAAAGCATAACATTTCCTACAATATATTAATTGAATAAAAAGGAATTAGGCTTTTAAATCGTTTCAAAACAGACCGAAGACAAATGCAGGTGTGAGGAGAATCTAAGGCTAAACAAAGTGGGCTCCGCTAACAGCTAGCAGAATGCTAACAGCATGGCAGCATCCCCCCGAAGAAGAAGCAGGTCAACAAAACAACCTCCGCTACAAAGACAGCCGCCGCCTAACACGCGTGAATTAGCGCGTTTTTTTACACGCGGTGTGCCGAGTGTTGTAGTTACCTGGCATTGTACTGTCGGCGTTGGCCTGAAAGCGCAACGTTAGTCGGGTTTAAGTGCACAACGAAGAGTGCTCGCTCGAAGAGGAGGGGGGTGATTTCTCGGAGCTAAATCCTGTTAGCCTGCTGCTACGGTGCTCCGCTGAGGCGTTCACGGACTTTATAGCGGGTCGGGATTTCAGAGACGATGATGCAACGAAGCAGAGACGTTTTATGGGCAAGTTGGATTGACTTTACAGTGTCATTGTGTGATTCAAGATAAAGTAAAACGTAGTTTAATTTTTAACAGGTGAAAAGTAGAGGGAACTTATGTGTGTGTCTAAACGAATAGGTGGATATTATTCATCCATCAATCGTATGGTTGCTCATTTATTTATTCATCTAATCTCTTATCTGTTTTTAAATCATCCAGTGATAGAAAACGGCATTGTGTCCTTTACAATGGCAATAGAATTACATAAATAGCATGAACGACTCTGAAAAAGACAAAGCTTGAACTCTGGGCAGAAACATTATAAGAAAAAAATATATTTGGTTTAAGTCCAGATAGAAAGCAAGGCTTCTGCTCCACCTTAATCCAAAGAATAAAGTATAATTGTCTCAGAGACTAAATATAAAATCCACCAATAAAAAATATGTATAAAAGACAATAAAACAAATGTAATGGCAGAATAAGTTTAAAAAGTTTTTTTGTTGCAATTATTAAGTTTTTTTTAATGCCATATGACTAAATGTAGTTAATTATAAAACCCTAAGGATAGTTTTAATGTTGCAGCAAAGTAAAGGCGGGCATCTTATAGGTCTGCAACTAATGATTATTTTGAAAATAGATTAATCTATCGATTATTTTCTGAGTTATCAATAATAATCGGATAGCAAAAGGTTCCTTAAAGGAGATTTTTTACTAAATTAAACCAGGTTAATCTAAAACTTTTCCACTTGAGGGGTCCTGGATATAGCATATTACCATGAACTCCCTTTTATTGGTCCAATATATCATTATAATAAAAACTCACAAGTGAATCATATACATACATTCATCCTAACAGCCTGAAATCCAAAAAAAAAAAATTAAAACCCTCAAAAACTGAGAGTAAGCAATTCATCACTTACAAAACATAAAATATCTCTTCCTCCCCGTATACAAATGAACTCTTTCAAGTCTGACACCATCTTATAACCTCTTACACCCTAAGGGGGTATAAATACATTTCTGCCTGACAAAAACACACAAAAGTAAATAACTTATAGCCTCAAAGCTATTAGATTTAAGAAGAAACTTTTGGTACGTCTGTAAAGGTAAGATGTCATAGAATGGTTTTCTGGTGTCAGCACCATTGTAGCTTTGACCCTGCCTGAAATATTAGGGACAAAATACAAAATATTTTGCATTTTTTGAACCTCGCCAAAATTTTCTTTGAAATAAACATTGCAAAACACCAACAACCAAAATATTATTTATAGCACAAAAAAGTAGTACAGACTTTCAAATCTAAATGTTGTGTAAAAATATACCAAATTTGGACTCAATCAGATGAATCATATTTATTTTAGAATGGTATTAGTGAGAAATTTCTTAGGCGGAGAGGCCATTTTGGCACATTTATCCAGAAATGTCACCAAACTGTGCCAAATATGTTTTTTACATCAATACTGGGGATTTGGTAAAAATACGAGGTCACGTAGCAGCTGGACCCGCCGGTGGGTCCGTAGGGTTCAAGGGGATAATAGGCAAACTCTGTCCTAAGACGTGCAGCTACCAGCCCACTGAACATCAGGTCAACATCTACAGAACCTTTCTCCTTCATTTTATTTCTCCTGCTGAGGCAAATGCTCATCTTTGCCTGACCAAACAAAAAAATTAACCAGACAAATATTACTCCGTTGTGCCACTGAGTATCTGGGACCAAAAATAAACAGTTCATTATTACTATATTGGATATAGCATATTGACAGGCAAAAAAAAAATGTGTTTTTATATTAAAGACAAAATTTTATATTTTGTCTTTAATAAAAAAACCACCAAAGTGGTCAGAATAATCATAAAAAAGTATGGGTTTTAAATTATTGTGCAGCTAAACAGAGAGCTACCGGGCTTCAATGAGCTGCTCCAGCTGCCAGATTAGCAAAGGGAAAATAAGGCAGCAGAAAGAACTGAAAACCAGATGGCAGCGTAGCGCCACATGTGTTCAAAAGGCTGATAAAAGGACAAGTTAAAGGGAGGTTGTAAAAGAAAACTGGTTTAGTCCTTGTCCACACAGAGACAAAAGTTGTGTTCTTCTAGAAGCAATTTTAAATTAAATATTGGTCCACATGAGTGCATATAGCGCCACTGAATATGTTATGGTATGTTTGCCTGGCCTCATTTTTGGCCGTTATGATATTGTTTTACAAAAGATGAGATTTATTTATTCATTATGGATAAATAATGAAAATATGGGAACGACTTCTGGAATCTATCCACTTGGTTTCAAAAATGCATTGGCTCATTCCTAAACACAGGGTCTGAGTCAACGTTATGTCGAAATGGCAAAATATATAGTGGATATACCTAAGCTCGCCTCACTGAGGACGGAGCCTTAAAAACATCGGGGCAAAATGCCTCAAACAAACCAATACTGAAGGATTAAATCTCTAATCTGCATTGACACTGAAGTGTTTTGAATTTGAGTTTGAGAAAGCAGATAACATTCACTGCAAATATGGGCAAAACATATCAATAAATAAAAAATAAATACTTTTAGACACTTTTACAAAGAAAAAAAGGTTGTGAGATGAGAGGAACAGAAATTAACAAGATCAAAATAATCCTTTAAGAATGTTTCTGTTGTTAAAGCACTCTTCTGTGTAGGTTGACTAATCCTTGCCTTCAATATGAAAAATAAAAGAAATCAATTACATCCTCTGATTTCTTAGATGCAGTCACTCCTGTTTTCTTCAGAGTCTTTCACTTTATTTTAATTTTTTTACATTTTAACACATATTTCTTTTAGCTTTCAGTACAGATGTTTTCATATATTCACAGGTCTACATCAATGTCTAATTTTCTTCAAAATTTAGACTCACCACACTGGGAATAACATCTTTGATCGCACTGCTTGATAATTTACCTCGTTGGAGGAGATTTTAACTTTTTTTTTTCTCTGTCAGCTTTTCTCTTTGGGTCTTGTTTCCTTTTCTGAATCAACAAGTTGATAAAGTCTGCAAATTCTCTTTTAACTCAAATTCATTTGCAGAGTCATAAAATGACTGAATGATGTTCTAGAAAAGCATTATTCAACCATATTTTCTCCATAGCATTTCCAGCTGTCCCTGCAACTACACCATGAATTATTTCATTTTTATGTTATGTAGAGCCAAAAAAAAGCATCAGTCTCATTAATTTTAGGTATGTCTAAATATATCCTGAGGCATATTTCACTAAGCTTAAGTGTTTTATTTAGTAGCTTTCTATTTTTTCATTATTTTGAGGCGCTTTACAAAACCATAAATTAAGAAAATTAATCTTTATAATGAGGAGTTTAGAGAAATATCTTCATAAATCTAGTTAAATTCATTTATCACAGAGTTTTAAAGAGATAGATATATTTATTCTTTAAAAAATAATAATTTATATCAGGTTTTAGTGTGTTTGGTGTATCTTTTTACACAGTCAGTAGATAAATACATTAGCTGTCCAACTTTTAAATATTTTTCTTTTTTTTTCTGCCGAAAAGTAAAGAACCTGACAAAATTTCTTTTAACTATAGCGAGTGGTTTTAATAATTATTTATTCAGCCAGGGGGTTCCCTTTAAAATCCGGAGCTTATAAGTGGTACCTGAACGCATCATCTTGACAAACATCCACCACGATGCTCTGCACTTTGCTACCTTTAATGCTTGCGTGGCTTTGGGGGGAAAAAAGGCATTTCTCATAAATAGATTAAAAAACAAAATAAAAAAAGAAACAGACAGTTTTGTTTTATTTTAAAAGCAAAACGTCTGGATACGTTGGGTGACTACTAACTGACGTTCCGTTGTTCTAAGTAGTGTTAATAGCTGTTGCTCAAATGAACAGTTACTGTTACCCTCCTCTGTCTGTCATCTGACCCATAAAGAACATTTACAGTCAGTTACTACCCAATTTTAAACACTGATTGACTATTTTTACACAGATATAGAATAATGCTGAGAAAACAGCTATTTCTCCGTGTGGTTATTAACATGAAATACCATCAGCCTTCCCATTTGACTTTGTTATGCGACTTTTAAAACACTCACCGCTGAACTTTAAGCGTAAAACGGCGGCACTCCACGCCGCAAACACAGCTGTCAGGAGAGGAGGGACGGAGGTCAAAACGGTCCTTTCAGGGTCTAAAAACCCACGCAGTGAAGAAATGTATCCAGTTTACTCTGACGACCTAATTTAACTATCGTATCCTGTGTCCTTTCGCTCTTTTTAACCTGCTAAAACACGTTAAAATCGCTAGATTCGGCCTAACCGTTGAGAGGAAAACAACAGTGTCGTAGCCCGCTCGTCCAGTTGCACCTTTCACTCATTGGTTGAAACGGACGTCAATCAAAGTCTCCTCGTGACGCAATTGGTCCCAATCTAAATAAAGACCCGCCTTACTTTACCATTCACGTAAAGTAAATAAAGCTGCCCTTTCTCCTCTTCTTGCCCGTTTTTTGTAATGAGAGTAGTTTGTATTTGACGACGTGGACGTTTTAAAAAGCTCTGATATTTGTATTTTACAGGTTAAGCTGCATTTTAACGCTCCTAAACATAACTGAGATGTAAATCTAAGCGTGAACAATCAGACATGGGTGCTTTTAAGAAAGCTCAATCATCATTTACAGTTATTCTAGTTAAACAGTTCAACTGAAACATCATTAGTTCAACTTTTTTATTTTCTTTAGTCCAACTCTTTTTAATGTTCCTTTTTTCTGCATTTTTTATTTAATTTTATTTATTTATTTCCCTACTTGCTTTGATTCTGTTTTTATTTTCCTATATTTTAATCATGTAAGCACTTTGCATTGTCTTTGTACTGAATTGTGCTATACAAATAAATTTGCCTTGCCTTGCCTTACCTTATTATTATTTCTATAACAGATAAAACAGAGCATTTACATTTCCACATTCTTAATAACATTTTAAGATGCTGTCTTGAGGTTTCGGTCTTGAATATGTTTAACATTTTATAGGGCGCTCAGTGAAATACTTTGAAAATCAAGATTTCAAGCCAATAGTTGTATTGCAATCCAGGATAAGACCTTATTACCTTCGTAACATTCAAAAATAAGGATATTTTGATTGCAAAAAATGAATGTCAATGTAATAACAAGAAATTCCAACTTGGCCAAATATATCAAGAAAAATAATTGAAGTGCTTCTCTAAGAATTTCAAGAAAAACATGAACGATAGTGAAAGAAACACTTTTTTTTTGTTACAACATAACCTTAGAGGCATAAATGCTGATACTGGCACTTACATTTTTAGTTTATAAACCTAAATATAATTGTTAATTAAGCTTATTAACTTTTTAACTTTACTTTTTAACTTTTCAATCAGCTTTTTACCTTTTTTTTTCTTAACTTGTTAATTTTTTTTTCAACTTAATTTCCAGTAGGTAATCTATTATTCAAGGACTCATGTAATTGGTCAAATGCAAAGTAAGATGTACAGCCATGTAGCAGCATCTTTGCTGAATGGCTGGATATGGATCTTGTGCTTCTAGACCTCACTGAGGGACGGAGGGGACTCCATTTGTAAGGAGTATGCAAGTGTGATCAAAAATGCCAACTTGCCCTATAAAGGGTTAACATACTCTGAATATTTAGAAGAAGATGGGACAATTATTATTTTTTTCTTTCATGATAAAGCTTTTTATGTGTTACTGTATTCGATGCCAGCCTCTAGTTTGCAGCTGGAATAAATCAGATGGTTGCATTACTCCAACATCACAAAGGAGGGCGACTGTAGCACACATTGCGGTTGGCATACTGCACCAGCTGATAGAAACATGTAGCTTGATGTGTGGATCAAAGAGGAGAGAAATGACTGTAAGTAAGCACTGGTTCTCTCCAAGCCCCGTCAAAGGCTGCTGTATCCGGTGCCAACATGTAAAGAAACACGACACAGTATCAGACTGTACTTCTATCCTAATTTCAGGATGACAAACCTATTCTTCTTCCATGGTTTTCCTACTCCACACAGATTCCAATCAACCATATGTAGATAATCTCTTTATTATGTTCCCGTTTTGCCAGTGAAGCTGTCTTGCCTGCCTGTATATGCTTAGAGGAGATGGTAACATTAAATTCAAGAATGCCAGATGTTCCCCATGGTGTCAGTCTGATTTTAAGTCTGTGTGTGTGTGCTGCCTGTAGATCTACTATCCCTAGTCTTCTGTTACATGTGTCCCTTTACAAAGACCTATTGGAATGTGTGATTAAATACATATGTGTGTGAGCTGTGCCTAAACCCTGGGTTTGTATATCTAGATGTTTTTATGGTTTTATTGAAGACACTATGCATTAAAGGATTTAGACAATAGAGCAATAAACTTGATGCATTTTCAAAACATTAGGTTTGCAGGAGTAGCAGTTGGGAGCAGTTTTTTGTCTTTTCTCTCTTTTCAGAATCAACAATCTTTCAGGGATCTTTATTGTCACATGAAACCGTAACAACATTTTGGAGAAATTCTAAGCTTGAATGGTAAACAGTGCGCACAGAGAAATTAAAAAAGCACTTGTAGAAAATGTAAAACATAATAAAATCTCCTTTAGGCAACAGGATCTTGTCTAACGGGCTTTTTGACATTAAAATTTCCCTTTATATCTTTGTTTTTCTTGCCTTAAATTCTGTAATCTCTTTGTAAAAATTGCCCTTTTTAGTTTTTAGACTTTTGCTTGAAGCAACTGAAAGTGAGATCTGCAATACAGTAGCAATTTAAGCATGACTGTATTGGGTGAGCTATTTTCTCTGTGGCCGTGATGAGATTGATATAAGGCCGGATTTTTACCCATACCCTCGTTCTCGTTTAAGAACCCAACAATTACTTTCCACCAGTACAGAAAGGTTTTTTTTATAAATACTTATGATTAATTAATCAAGGGGTGACTTTATAATCAAATGCATTTTGCCCTAGTTGTAACCAGGTTGTTATCAGGTTGTTTGTTTGTTTTTTATTGTGATGTCTAGAAGCTTTCCTTTGTCATGCTTAGGAATGCTTATAAAGAAAACTGATGCAGCTAAATACATGATAACCCTGGAGGAAAAGTTGTCAAAGGCTACAAAGGTTTTCAGTTTGGCATATAGGTTCACCTTCAAGCAGGATTACCATCAAGAATAGTACGGTTTGGCCCAGTCAAAGTCCAGACCTACAACCAACTGAGAACCTGGGGCAGGGTTTGAAATTTGTTATTCAGAGATAATTTCTGTCCAATCTGACGGATCTTAAGCTATTTCAAAAAGAGAAAAGATGTGAAATAATTCATTCTCTAGATGCACCTAGCTAATAAAGAAATACCTCAATAGATCTTCAGCTACAACTACATGTAGTGACACAGCTGGAATTCAGTTGCATTCAGCACTCTTATAGAAAGATTAGATAAAAAAATGATTGTGGCAAAAAAGGAATTGCACTATGAACATAGAAAGAATACATCTGCACACTATTGCACTGAAACACCCCCCCCCCCACACACACACACACACACACACCCCACAGTTCTCCATTTCCCCCAGTCTCTCTTGTTATAAATTTCACCCTTAGCCTTGCAGTCCAATCATAAATCATACATTCCCTTCCTCTTCCTCTCTCTTGCTTGCTAAAACGTTTTTTTTTTTTTTTTACTACACAATAGTCCAGACTCCATGTCAAAGAGCAGCCATATTTAATATATGTGTGTGGGTGTGGGTGTGTGTGTGTGTGTGGCTTCCACTCCAGCTCTTTCCTTTGGCTCTGGGTCCCCACCCCAGGGGAGGCTGTACAGTGGGACTCAAACCTCCACCTGAATAAGCTCACACTGAAAAAGCGCCACATACTCTTAAATGCACACTAAAAAGGAAGTGGCGTATTTGCACACAGAATGTATAATACCACTTTCATTAATTCCTGCACAAGTCCAATACAGTTGCACACACAAATGGTCGCTCTCATGTCTTTACTCGCCTCAGTGAAGTTTTCAAAGCTCAGACTATATTAAACATCAGGCCTGAACAGAGAAATGAGTCCTACTATTTGTGGGAATACTTTTTTATTAATCACTTATTGTTAACAATACTATTTATGTGTGATTTACTCTAATTAAGGAAACTTTTACATTGCTCTGTAAAAGCTGTTGGGAAATACGTCAAGATAAGAACCACAATATGCAATATGCTAGGTCTCCTATTATGCAATATTCTCTTTATAAACATTTTGCAATAATGTGTGCTGAAGCCTGTGAATGAGATTTACAAATAGAAAACAATTTTCCCCTCTATCATTGCCTTTCCCGGCCTCTTAGCTAATGTGTGCTCAAAATGCTGTTTGAAAGGCATTCCCCTGATGATGTCATAAGGGGAAATAAGCTCTAGCAGCCCATCGTTCAAGCTCCAGCCTTCATCTAATGTACTATTCAGTGCTTCTAGGCTCTCTTTACTAACTCCGACTGGTCGTCATGGTTGTGGGCAGTAGGGGCGCATCCTTCCAGAGGACGGGGGCGTTGAAAGACAAAACAGCTCATCCAGAGGTTGGCAGCAAAAGGAGATTTTTGGTAAAGGCTATCTGCCTAATCTGAGAGGAATTTTCCTACACAAACTGCTAAAATGTGCTCGGGGGGCCTTATTATTAATGTTTTTTTCATTTTCAGATGTAGAATAATATTTATTGTTTCATGTGAGACATCAAAATAAATACTGCATAATCATTAAGGATACACAGCTTTCTATTCTCCCCCCACAACATCGGGTCAATACCTTGTAGTAACACTGTTCTCTGTATTTATTTCTTGCAACTATTTGAGCTATGTTGCTACATGTAGGGACAGAGAAGTTTAGTTTTTTTCTTCTCAAAAGCAGCACACACTTTAATGGAGAATATCTGTGATTATAAATTTAGATTCTTGCCATAAATCTGGTTTGGATATTGCTCTGGACATTGATTAGATGACTCAAACACATGAATGATGATCCTCCTCCTCAGTCTCGGGTTTCATTGCAGCAGCTGGAAGGCTTTCTCCAAGGACTTTTCTCTACAAAACCTCTTCTACCTTTTGTCGAATTTAAAAATTTGAAATAGCTACCAAAGTAATAAGTTTAGATCCAGACTGAAGTTTGATATTACTGTCTGTTATGTATTTTGTAATAATTCATGTTGTATCTGTTCCATCAAAGGGATTGTAACTCTGTTTTGCTTGTACGTACTGGTTTGACATGTGGTGCTATCTTGAGAGGGGAGTCCTCATTCAGGCTATTGTTGACATTTTGGAGTTATTTAAAGCAACCGCCCTCCAGCATCTATGTTTGTCTCCCTCCATGCGCCTTAGTGTGTCATATGTTATTGGGTGTGTTTCCGTTGCTCGAGGACTACTTCCACCAGTCCCACTTCCACAGATAATGTGGAATTCATGAAGAGAATGTCACACGGGGAGGACCTTCCTGTCACCTGACCCCATGTCTTCCTGTGTAGTTTCCTGCGTCTGAGCATGCACCAAGGATCATGGCTTATGTGATGGAGAACCTGGTCTGCATCTCCATCTGATGGGATGGGTACCGATGCTGAGATAGTTATGGAGAAGATGTCCAACTTGCTTTAACTTCTATATAATTAGCAGCTATAGGGCTTCACAATCAGCCCCTTTGTTTTGGTTGTTTGGCAAATAAATATTAGAGGAAGCTGAAGTGGTAATACATTGACTTTCATTGATTTCCAGTCAGTTTTAACCCCTTTTATAACCTACCCCTAACATAACTCTAAATTTAGGATTACCAGTCCATAACTAACCTTAACCTCAAAGCAATTTATATCTTAGCCCTAAACCTAACTATTGGAAAAATAGGAAGTGTGACCCAGCTAAATGTCCTCACTTTGCTATAAACAGTCCTTCATTTATTTAATGGTGGAAACTGAAAAAATATATGGAGTCTGACGCCAAAACAGGGGCACACAAATCATTTTTCTGTGATCATTTTACGTTGTCTAATTTAACAGTTTGAGTCCAGTTTGCTAGGTAGTGCAGTGCACTACTACAGATATGTATCTTAAGGATGTATATTAATTTGATAGATTATTCACAGCAGGGGTTCCCAAATTTTGTCATTTTTAAGTCATTTATTAAGGGAATTGAAGCAAATTATGAAGCTATTTCTTTAACTAAAGCCCTAAAAGCTCTCTTGGCTGAGTTCACTCATGATGTAGCACAGCAAGGTTAACTTGAGCTGTTGACAAAACACATCTTACTGTCAAGGAAAAACAAAATAAAGTCGATAACACCGTCCGGAATGTCAACGCTCCTTTAATGCCAATGTTGAGCACATAATGCTGGTAAAATGATTGAAAGTTTCAAAAATACAGATAGCATTGCTTTTAAGGTTTAGGATTAAGAACAAAACAAAGAAAAGAAAAAAAACATTTTCTTTTGCATGGTGCTGTATTCCAAATACAAAAGAGGTAGCAACACAGAAGAAAAGAAGAGAGCGAATGACGTGGTGGCAGGTTTTGCGTTGGGGCCCCTTGGTTTTTCAGTCAACAGGGGGAGAGGTGCCATGTAATGGTTTCCAGACCCACAGACACAAAGATACACTCTAATTCGATTTGGAAATCTGACAGAAGGAGGAAGCAGAGTGTATGTGGACGTTTGTGTGTATGTGTCTATATATCTATACATATGTATATTATATATATGTGTCTGTGTACCTGGGGCATTTTCTTCCACATAGTGAAGAAATCTAGTTTCCCTTTACCAATGGAGGAGCTGAGTTAGTTCTACTGTCTTTGTGTGACACAGTGTGCAATAGCACAATGTATGCTTTTAATCACATCTTGAGCAGGGGGAAATCGGATCCCTCCAGATCTAAAAAAAAAATACCACATATGCACAATGAAAATCTCCAACAAGGGGGAAAATGTGCATGTTTTATAAAAGCTAAAAACAACGTTTGACAGATAAAATGGCTTTTCTTTAGGAAAATGTTGATATAAACTCTTTACAAGGTAAATGTCCATCGACTTTGATGTAGGGTAGAGTTAAAAGATCAACATAGACAGAAAGATTGATCCTGGTGAAGGTTTGCAAAGATTATTTCTATGGCCTTAGTCTTATGAAATCTAAAATCTAATCTGAACCGCGGGATAGAAGTGCATTTTTAGTAAGAAATGTTCATTATCTTGACGCTGATGGCTAGCTGAATTACTCATTTCAATCACCTATGTAACTCTGCCCTGTTTCTAATCACTGCTCATCTGATCCACCAGCTCCTGCTTCTATTTAAACTGCTTGGTCCCAGTCATCAATGCCAGATTATTCTGAGCCTTTGGTGTTGAGAGTTTTCCAATGTTTCTAATAGTGTTCTGTTTTTCCTGATCCTGACCCACTTCTGTATTCTGACCTTTGAGCCTGCCTGTCCCTGTTCTGATCTGTTTGCCTGACCTGTCTCCGGATTCTGTTGGGGACTGAACCTGGTTCTGCCTCTTGACTTCGCCCTCGGGATTATCCTGCCCTCATTAGTCTGTTCGGATCTTATCTCCTGTCAGTTCTGTGTTCTTCAAGGCTTTGGTGTCTAGAACTCTCTGCATCCTGTCAGCTGACCGGCTGGTATCGACCTCGTTCTCCATGCCAGAGTGAACTATATAACCAGGTTAGTGACTCACCTGTTCAGATTTTTCCTCCGTCAGACTTTTGTGGTTACTAACCTGTGTTCCCTCCCTTCAGAGTTACCTGCCTCAGACACCTTAGCCACTGCTGCCGCAGATCAGCTAACCGCCAGTGATACAGCAATCAAATTAAACGAAGTACTTTCGAGTTTTTTAAACCATTTCATCTAGACTTTCCCTCCCCCTCTATTATCAAAGATTATTCTGTCCAGGTGTCAGTGAAATAGATGGAGGTGTGTTAAATTCACCTAAAGTTTGACTAAACACACCTGGCTGCTTCCAGCCTTTGTCCAACACACTTACAAGGAGAGCTACATCAAGGAAGAATAGAGGAGAAGATACATGTGGAAAAAGCGAATAAAGAGAGAGGTCAGACTAAGAATGGAAAAATTAAAGCAGGAAATACGAAGACCTGAATAATAATAAAACAAGGAATAAAAGAAAAGAGAGAGGGCAACATGACTCAATCAGGGTACAGAGCCAGCCTCGAAATCACTCCACCCTCTGTCTTTCGCTCTGCTGTATCCCAGTGAGGTAAATCCCCCAGTATCGCCCCCCCTTATGTGCTCCCATAGCCCTCCCACTCCTGTGACTGGTTAATGTGTGTGTGTCACCACTTTTTCCTCTCAAATTCATTTGCAAAGCAGTGAGACGGAGCGCTTGGCTGCAAAGAGCCAGAGCTGCAAACTCAAATTAGAATCCCACTGGGAGGAAAAAACAAAAACAAATCAAAAGATTATTAGAAGCTTTTTCTTGTAGCTTTCTCCTTTTCTCCACATTTTTAAACCAAGTTTTGGGAATTCTACGTGCAAAACATTGGGGAAGTCTTACTTTTTTAACAAGGGATTTCCAGAAAAGCATCCTATCCTATCCAGCTCCAGTTTCCCATCCCCAGTCCTTCTGTCATCCATCTTTCTCTCTCTGGAGGCAGATCGGTTTGCAGAATCTTAAAAGCTGGGAATACTTTTTTCTGTCCAACGAAACAAGCAACAGAAAAAAAAGTAAGGAGGACTTGAAGGGGTAAGTCGACTTAAAATAAAAGCAAACACCTTTTTGCACTTTTGGTCATACATTAAAAGTATAATTTTTTCTGTTGTTTTTATGCATAATATATATGATAGATGACTAAGGAGTATTTAAAATATGTCACACTACTAGAGCTCTGTTATGAATAGTATAGCACAAAGTTATGTGCAGTATTATCCTTTTTGGGGTTTTATTATTAGGAGGACAAAGACCAAAGCTGGGGAATGAAAACGCATGATGCACACTTGGGTCATGCAAATGTTTTAGGGTAGAAACTCAAATACAGGCAGACAGATGTTTTATGTTTTTGGATGAGGAAAAACAATGTCAAACCATGGTCCTCATTATTTACACAGAAGACAATTTAGTTTGCTTTTTTTTCCTTTTGAACAGATTGGTTTAATCTCTTTTCCTGCCTCAGAACGTAAACTTGAACCCACAGAGACTATAAAACACACATGGTTCCCATAAATGTAAATTTTGAAGAAGAATATATAAAAATTAATGTTAAATGTAAAGTCTTGATTTCAGATCTGAATCAATAAAAATAAATATTTCAATATATATAGGTTCTAAAATACCAGCTCCTGTCCATCCATCCATCCATCCATCCATCCATCCATCCATCCATCCATCCATCCATCCATCCATCCTCCTTTGTATACATTGAAATCAGCAACAATTCTCTAATGTGCCAATTGGTCGGAGGAGACAGTGGTGTAGGAAGCAGGAGAGTTCTTCCTGCAACTTAAGCGTTGGCGGTTTGAACCCAGGCTCCATCCATCTCAGTCCTAGTGTCTTTGAGCAAAACAGTTCACCTACATTGTCTGCTGATGGTGGTCAGAGGGTTCGGTACACAGCCTTCAGTGAGCCACAGGGTTTCCATAGTTACAATGTAGCTTGCCACCATCAGTGTGCATTAAAATGTAAATTACATGAATGGTATTGAAATAACACATATACAGCCTTTTGATATTTTTCTGTAGGAGCAAAGGTTTTTTGACAGTTGTTAAATGAAGCTGGTTTTACAGCATCCACAATGCTTTCAACATATCTCATTAATTTCCCTCTTCTGTACATTAATATCGCTTTCATGAGTATATTATAAAGAAAAATCCCACTGGATCCACATTGTCGGGTTCATTTTAGCACTGTTTTAACATTGATAAAATGTTCTGCAGAACCTGGCTCCAGTAAAAATGTCTGAGGAGGTGCAGCTGGATACCTATCTGCAGATACATGGTAAGACAGTGCAAGCACATCTTTTTCTAAGTTGTCCTGGTTGAAATGATTCACTTCTTCTCCACGGTCTGTAGTGCTAAACACTCCCACTGGGGTATTTTACTTTCTTGGGATTCCAGTGACATTCCAGTCATTCTTGTTCACTTCAATCCTCCAGAACCAATTTCAAAGAACTCCAGGCCAAATCGGTTTCTAACCATTATTTATTTTTCCAAGTTGTGATGATTCTGTTTCTGTCATCGTAGAAAACTTGCAGATATTGCTGTTATTTCTTCGGTTTCCAATTAATTTGCAGGTGGGAATGTATCCACCCCATCTTCACCAGCCACATCCAGGAATGAATGCAGCATCACACCTCTCACACCCTCTCCCTCACCGGTAACTGCGCAAACAGCCTCTGACCACAGCTCTACTACACACCCTTTCCGCTCTCTGCTCTCTTGTCTTTATATAGAGCCTCCACCAGTTATTAGTGGGTCATCGTAAGACTTTCACTCAGAGTTTACAGCAAAGAATTAAAAAAGAAACGTGAAAACTACTTCAGTTCAGAGTATAACCAAGCGGTTTTTGTTGCTTTCATTGTTTTATGTTATCAATGTCCAGCTAGGTATTGTACATTTCAATAGAAAAAGTGGAATGTACAATAAAGTACGTACACTACAGTTTGGTGTAGAGACGGCTTTTTTTTATTTTCTTCTTTTTAATGACGTATCATTTAGTAAATTTTAGGCGTAATAAACCCTTTTTTTAATTATTATTTTGCAATAATTTTCTATTCTATTTTATACATTCTGAGGAAATAAAGTCTCTCTATGTCTGTGGTTGTATCTATTTATTACTAAACAAAAAAAAAAAAGTCTTACACTCGGATAGATGATATCTAAAAGTGATTGCTTACACTGATGCATTAATAATAGTAATAGTTGAAATCTGTTGATCTTACATTGGAGAAATTTACCTCTGCATTTAAAAAATCCCCTAGGGGAGCAGTTCACTGCCATCATGCAGTGTGTGGGAAGCAGTGTGGGGTTAAAGGTCTTGCTCAGAGACCCAGAGTCTGTGGGAGTGGGGCTCGAACTCAGAACCTGAGGATTCCGAGCTCTATGCCCTAACCACTCCCACCGCTCCCTCTTCGCATCCTAAAAGTTTTCGTTTGATGCACTATACTTAACTTCATTCATTCAATATGATAATATCTTGCAAGAGCTAAAGGGTGAGAACCAGTGCATGTGTTTTTGTTCACTGACAGGAATAGCTAAATACTGCAGAATGCTTTGTCAAAGCATGCAGAGCCCTGAATTAATTTACTTTTTGTTTAGGGGTTTATGTGATAGACTAACAAAAGGTAGCAAAAATGTTTATCTGAAGAGAACTGTGCTATTGTTGTTTTTGTTGCTGTTTATAAGCAAGGAAAGAAATTACATTTCATTTATATAGCACCTTTCTCAGACAAGTACCTTACAGTAAAGTACAGGTAAAATTATTAGGACATTAAAACATAGATACGATGTAATAAAAAAAATTAACAAGTTTAAATTTATATGTCTATTCTGTCAGCTTTACTCTGATGCCCCAAAATAAAGTACAACCCATGTGACTGTATATATTGGATTAATAAGGAGTAAAAACATAAAATAAGACACTAGGCCATCAGTATCCAAAATAAAGAACAGAATCTTTTATACGTGTGTGTCAGCAAATGTTTGCATAAAGACCAAACACTTGCTGTTTCTCTGTCTGGCAGAGGGTGGAAATCAGACCCCGGATGGCTTGCCCATTCTCTGTTGTCGTCGCCATAGACTTTGGGACGACCTCCAGCGGCTATGCTTTCAGCTTCACGCAGGACTCTGAAGCCATACACATGATGAAGTAACAATCTGCTTAAACTCTCCCTTATTTATAATTCTCCCTTCCTTTTAACTCTAAATGACAATTTTGCTCTGCTCTGTGCAGACGTTGGGAGGGCGGTGACCCCGGAGTGGCCAATCAGAAGAGCCCAACTTGTTTGCTGCTCACTCCTGATTTGCGGTTCCACAGTTTTGGGTTTGCAGCACGAGATTTCTACCATGACCTGGATCCAGAGGAGGCCCAGCACTGGCTTTACTTTGATAAATTCAAGATGAAGATCCACAGCACAAGTGTAAGTCGCTCCCACAGTTCTGGTCAGAAGTTTACAAACACCCATTATGAAGGTGGATGTTAGGTAACCGTTGGATGCAAAAGTCAGCATTTATGTGGATTCCTTTTATCAAATCAACTCTCAGACTAAAATATAAACATAGATCCCAAAAGACACTTGATTGAGTGTTTCTCTGCAGGTGGTCCCTCAACAAAACACTTTTTATAGCCATAAACAGGCTTCTGTTGTAACTCTTTCTGGGTATTTACCCTCTTGGAAGAGCTGGTAGAATCAATTACTTCATTAATAATCCTTTATTTATAGGAAAATTTCTTCAGACTCACTGTCTCATTTATAAAGCAAAGCTATTAAATACATTAAAAGGAATAACATAAAAAACAGGAACGGTATGTACTTTTGAAGGTTAAAACCGTACAACGCCAGCAGGGGTTTCAAAAACAAACACAAGTTCCTCCAGACAAATCTACTAATCCTTTTATTAAAATTTTGAAACGCTGCTGAAAAATGTTCGAGGCGGATCAGAGAAAGAGAATGCTGCTGTGTCCTGCTCAGTACGCACTAATTGAACACTGCATGTGATAAATCAATAAAGCTAAGATATAGCAGTAGGTCTGATTCGACAGACTAAATGTAATAAATTTGGGGGGAAAAAATTGTGGTAATGCTTTACATGTCAGATATAAGATGACAGTTATGGTGGAACAAAAGTGAAAATACATTTGTACCAATGTATAGAGAGCACCGTTTAGCTAAGAAGTAAAATGTGCAACAGTGAGAGAGGCTTTTGGTGTTTCTAATAAATCAGAGCAAGACAGCGTCCTATAGGTGTAAAATACTTAATAACTTAAAAAACAATACCTCCATAGTCTGAAATACTCATCAAAGTGGCAGAAACAAGTTGTTTACCTGGCATTGTATCTGTAAAACAATTTCTGTTTCAAACAAAAATGCCCTAATTTTATTTATTTTTTTCCATAATTTTCAATATGGGAGATTATCATCTATGGTGATGCCAATATAATTATAGGATGTTAAAAAACTAATCACACACAGAGTGGTAGAGAGAGTTCAGAGTGCCCTACGTAACGGGACCTTAGTCTCACTTAGATTCAATGGTGATATAAGTTGTGATGGTTGAGACTGAAAGTTTTCAAAAGAGGACTGCAGGCACCAAAAATAAAAATAAAACTGATCTTGAATGGAAATAAATCAGTGAGCATTGTTGCACTTTGATTATGGCCCAGATTATTAAAATACATAATAAAAACAAAACTATGAGCACTAAGACATAACCTTGTGGAACTCATGGAAATATTCATATAACTTGATCTTGAGCTATTTTGAAGGTGATTATTGTTTTTTTTTTTTTGTGTGTTTCTCTTCATTGTGGTTGATTTTTATAGCAAATATTAAAGAATAATAAAAAAATTTAGAGGCAGTTTTTGGTGCTATTGTAAAATAAAAAATAATAAAAAAAGAAGGGGTCCAACTAATTTGTGTCCGAAGCATTTTGTCTTTGGTACTTTAAATCAATTTGAACCAAAGTCTATCACAATTCAGAACCGGAGGACCCATTATTTGAGGTAGAACAGAAAGTTGGATTATTCAAAAGGCGTTTATTTCAAACCAGTGGATCAGAGTAACAGCGTCTATCACTGGAAACTCTGCAGAAAGAAACACAGGTTAGTGACCATGTAAATCTAATGAAGGAAGATAAACTCGAGTCACTAACCTGGTCTACAATTTAAGTCCATAGCCAGAGAACAAGGTAGGATCCAGCAGGTGGGCTGCCAACAAGATGCGGCGGGTGCCACTCATAGTGTCCCAGATGCTGCAGCCTGAGGGAACATGCAAGAGCCTGAAGCCAGGTCCGGCAAACAGATCAGAAAAGGAATAAACAGGCTTAGAAATCCATGAGTTCAAAGACAGTTCAGGCAAACTGTTCAGATGGGGACAGACAGGCTCAGTGGGTGAGAGGCAGAACAGGTCAATATCAGGAAATCAGAAACACCAAGGAACTCTAAAAACACTCTCACTATTGGCTAGAGAGAGCAAGAATAATCTGGTCCTGATGAGTGGATGCAAGCACCATAAATAGAGGCAGGAGCAGATTGATCTGATGAGCAGTGATGAGAAATGGGGCAGAGTTAGACAGGTGAATGGAGTTAGTAATTAAGCCGGTCATCAGTGCCAAGATCATGACAAAATCTTTTAGAAGTTAAAAAGACATTTGTATGACTTTGACTTTGCAAAGGTAGTGGTTTATTGAAAATGTAGAAATAACCTTCCTGTTTTTACAGTTTAAAATGATCATTATCAGATTTTGGTTTCTCCAACTCAATCCATCATATCTTACAGGACCTCACAATGGAGACGGAGCTGGAGGCTGTTAACGGTCGAAAAGTTAGAGCTATTGAGGTGTTTGCACATGCTCTCCGCTTTTTCAGAGAGCACGCTCTGAAGGTAAGGCCTTGGTCTGTCAGTTTGTTTACAGATGGAAAGACGACTGGTCCTCAGTGGTGAATCTGAGTTCTTTTTTCAGGAGGTAAAGGACCAGTCATCTTCGGTGCTGGAGGGAGAGGAAATCAGATGGGTGATCACCGTCCCAGCTGTGTGGAGACAACCGGCCAAGCAGTTTATGAGAGAAGCTGCGTACCTGGTAGGACATTTGCATCATGTCAACCCAAAGTCCTCCCCAGATTAAAAGATAATATTGCTTCTGCGTAGGAAGGTTCTCCTCCATGGCATTCCTCAGAACTAATTAAAAATGAACAGTTGGAATCCTTGGATTACTTTTTCTTTATTAAGATTAAGAGTAAAATATCTTTTATTTTATGTTTTTTCTTGAAATTTTTCCCGTTAATTAGCCTTTTAAGAAACCCAGCTTGTGTGCGGGAGATAAACAGACGAGGAAGAAAAACGAGCAGATGGAAAGAAACCCTGGGATATAGACAGATTAACTTTCCCATCATGGATCCTTTACACACACAGATTACAGCATGCATTTGGCTTTGTCTGTGTTTGTATGTCATGAGAATACACACGCCCCTACTTATTGTGTACGTGTTTGACTGACTTGTAGGAAGTGAGCATGCATGCACAGGAATGCATCAAGAAAAAAATGGCATGCAAGTCTGTATCTAATGGTGCATTAAAATCAAGACATTTTCCTGTTAGAATCTGTGACCTCTTTGTCTGACCTCCACAAACAGACCAAATCTGGTATTATTCTGAGTCACTAGCCTCTAACTGTCTCAGGTGAGTCAATAAAAAGTCTAAAACACGCACACACTCTCCCACACATGGTTAGTGCTGGCTCCTGGTTGAGGTCTGTCGGGGCGTGTGCGCTTCCTGCTGGTGATGTCATTAGGAGCGAACAATAAGGGAGACCGGCGTACAAACACAGGAAGTAGAGAGCAGACCCCCGCCCTGCACAGACACAAACTTATTGTTATAGCCTACTTAACCCTATACCCCATAACATCACATTTAGTGCTTATATAAATCTCCTTATGATTGAATTCCCTCCTCCTAATGGATCATCATTACTTTTGGTTAGGTTAGAGTAATTTCATCTTTAAATCTGTGTTGAAGTGCCATCAGTGTGGATGTCTCTGTAGATTTCTTTTCTTATTTCTGTTGACCTCTGAAATGTCTCTTTTCTGTCCAAAGGTCAGTGTGACATATAGAGTGTGGTTTTGTTAACATTTTATCATAAAGAATGATGACATTTAGGCTAGCAAGATAGAGGCAAAAGAAAACAATGAACACTCTATCATTTAGTAGATTTTAGAACTTCCTCTAGCAGCAATATTTTGAAGGAGCGTTTTTCTGTATCAGCTTATCTGCTCTTTGAGATATTTACCTTTTTTATGACCCATTTTTTTACAAAAGTCTCAAGTGTCATACAGAGTCACATTTACCTCTAGAGTTCTTTGGTACAGAGTAAAGTTTAGTCCAAAAATATAACATTAACAGATCTCTCTAAATGACCTTTAGGTATAATGTGTCTAAGTGCATAGCATATCTTTGTTGTGTTGTGATCTGATGGAGTGGAAACCTCTCCAGTTTGCACTTCATCTCTTCCCCAATGACCACCAGAGAAAAGATGTCCACCAGTGACCAAGCAAGGATAAGTGGGCAATGGGCAGACAGATGTATTTATGGATGGATGTTTTGCTTGGATATTCATACCACTTACCACATTTTTTGTCTTTTTTAATCATTTCTTTTAAGTAATAGAATAGAATAGAATAGAATAGAATAGAATAGAATAGAATAGAATAATAATTCACCTTTTTGTTCCACAGTGGGGAAATTAAGGTAGTTTTAGGGGCAAGCGTAAAGTTTACAACAGAAAAAATATAGTGTACAGTTATAAGCACTTACAACAAAATTTTAAAACAGGTCAAAAAATTGAGCATTAAAAACTCCAAACTCTGATCAAATGAAATTCGCATATGTAAACTTGGATGTATTGGGAAAATGTTGAAACTGTTCATTTAACAATTGTGTATAAAAATTAACAACAGACTGTTTACAAGAAAAACTGAAAACACTGCAATCAATTGCAGATGTATAAACAGCCTATTGAGTTTGTTGGGTGCTGTGGTGATTATAAACAGCTGCTAGTAGGAAAGATCTGTGATAACACTCCTTAGTGGACCCAAGGCACAGTAGTCTTTCATTGGAGGAAATTTCCACTTCTGAAACACATTGTTTTTTAACATTACGTTTTGTTTTTTTTTCCAAGTGTCCGTTTGTCTCCCTCCATCTGCACAGGGTTGTTTGGGCATCCTAGGACAGAGCTGGCCTTCCTGATAAGCAGATTTAACCTCTGCCCTTGGTGGTAATTAAGATATAAAAAAAAGTCTTCAAGTGCACCCCCTGTGCTCCAGACTCAGTTTCCTAAACAGGCAGCGTCGACTGTGACACATTCTATAAAGAGCAGGGCCGATCAGAGTATTTGTAACACATGAAAAATGCCCCAATGCTTACTTCTTATTCTCCTACCATTCTATCTTCTGTTTTCAAGTCTTCTTCGATTAAATACATTGTGTTTTAGATTCCTCAAGTAAACACATGACAAGGTGGGATATAATGTAAACCTACTTTATCTCTGCATGCTCTGAATTTCTCTCACTGCTGTCGTTACACGTTGTTTGTGTGTTCTCCAGGCTGGGCTGGTGTCTCCTGAATGTCCTGAGCAGCTCCTCATCGCCCTGGAGCCCGAGGCCGCCTCCATCTACTGTCGGAAACTTCGGCTCCACCAGGTGATCGACCTGAGCATGCAGCCAATTACCAACGGCCTGGAACTGGACGGAACCCGGCCCTTCGACTCCAGCTTCAGACAAGGTAAATGGACGTCACTGAGAAGTCTTCTTTATCAGCAAAAGCATAAAGCCACACTGTTCCTGGAAAGGCTGCTGTTCTGATTCACACAGAGGTTGTGGGGTTTCAAAGCAAAGACTCTGTGTTTTTTAGTGAAACAAAGAGCTGGGGATAAAAATGTGGCCTCGGATACGGCTCATGTTCTCTGCCTCAATTGACTTTACATGCTTGTGTGTAGAATGTGTGTATTTTTGGGGGAGGGATGTGTACAGACACACCACTTTGAAGAGGGCATGTGTTTAATGTAGAGCCAGCAGAGAAGCAGAAATGGATTCATTTGCAGAGGGAAAGGGGAGAAGAAGTCGCTTTTAAACAGATGGAATTCCCAGGAAGAGGAAATGTTCCTCATCTCGGACTGAGAAGTTCTCCCCTTCATCCTTTAAAACATAAAACACTGATTATGAGCTTGGCTTTCTTCTATACATCTTTACTTTTTTCAATAATGTAATCTTTTGATGATTAATACTGACAGCTTTGCAATAGTCTTTTCACCTTCAAAGCTCCAGCCTTAATGTAGTTTATTGGGATTTTGAATAGTTCGGTAGCTCATAATTAGGCAGTGGAAGGAAAGTCTACGTTTTTGCATGTTGCTGTGCATTTGTAGGTACCATGAGTAGGTCAGTGTATTCTCATTATGAGTTCGTATGAAATCGTACGAAAAGTTATTCACCGTAATTTCGTACGTTTTGGACGTTTTTTTCGTCGTATGCGCAAGCGCATGTGACGCACCATTCACGAATATCGAATATAAATTCCAATTAGCCCTAACCCTGACCCTACACCTAAGATATAAAACAGCAAGCAACGTAGTTAGAGACATGAATAAGTGATGATTGCACTGTTTTTCCCAGTTTTACGTCTGTCAGGGATCTGCTTTTTTTTCCTGTCTGCCAGCGCATGCGCACTGATGTGGTTTTTTGAGGAAAAACGTCCAAAACGTACGAAATAGTGTGCAAAACTTTTCGTACGATTTCATACGAACTGATAATGACAATATGTTGAGTAGGTACAACGTAGTTTCATTTTTCATTGTGCAGCTGCAAGTCCGCCACAGATACATCTCTTAAAGCTTTGGACATGCACTATATCTTTGGGCTTCATTTGACTGATACTGCTTTCCATTCAGTCTGACTGAATTTGAGTTAATTTGGTCGTGAATGTCCGTAAACCTGAAATTTGAATTTGTTGTTGTAGATTCTCTATTGGATTTACATCTGGACTTTGCCATTTTACTTTTTGGATATTCCTTTTTTTTTCTTTTTTCAAAAATTCAATTTAAATTCAATTTATAAACATTTTATCAATCCTAAAGGGAAATAAAATATTGCAGTCAGTCATCTGCACTTTAAAAAATGAAATTGTCAATTTATTTTTGTTTACACTTGTGTATACAAAATAAATCTGTCTGAGTCAACGGTAAGTCATTTTTACAAGCCAGTCTTTTTCAAACGAGTTGTTGTAGAAATTTGATAGCTCAAGGCAGGAAGGATCTTCTATAGCACGAGTGTCAAAGTGGTACCAGAAAGGGCCGTGCGCTTGCAGGTTTTCTTTTCCAACCAAGCAATAGCACACCAGACTCCAGTCATCTCATCAAGTGAGTCCAATCTGAACATGATGACTGGAGTTTGGTGTGCTATTGCTTGGTTGGAAAGAAAACCTGCAGCCCCACGGCCCTTTCTTGGAACCACTTTGACACCCGATCTGGAGAAATCTTTGACTGAAGACAACATGATGGTGTTTAAAAGTCCTATGAAGATGCTCACTGTTTTCCATAAAGTTCTTTACTTTGTGAGGTATTATCTTTGTGAAATAATCTCCAGAGGTCCTAGAGGAGTTCCTAGAATAGAGCCGCCCTGCTTTATCAGCTTGTTGAGCTTTTATAAGTCATTTGCTCTGATACTGTTACCCCAGCAGATTAACTCTCAGATACACTCTCCACAACAGACTTATAGAAGATATGTAGCATATTGCTGCAAACCCTAAAGGACCTAAGATTCCTTAGAAAGTACAGTCTGCTCTGTCCCTTCTTGTAGACAGTTTCACAGCTGTGTCTCCAGTTAAATTTATTGTTGGTGTAAACACCAAAGTATTAATACTCTTCCACTCTCCTATGATGTTAATACTGCATCCAGAACCCCACCTTCTGGGTCAAGCTAAGGTTGAAAGAGGTGTTGTATTCATTTATTTATTTTTTCAATTCAATTCAATTATACATTACCAATTCCCAACGCATGTCATCTCAAGGCCCTTTACAGAGAAATATATCAGATCCTGCTGTCCGATTGGTCAAAAGTTTCCTGGGGAAAACCAGCAGATTGCAGGGAGAAGCATCTCACATGAGCTGCTCTGGACAGGCCTGCACGACTCGAGCCAACACCATCTGGACCCGGTGACTCATTGTGATTGAGTCTCCCCAGTTACCTCCTCATTTGATTTTTAGAGATAGATAGGTGGAGGGGTGGGGGTGGGGGGGTGCAACTCTAAATGTCATAACTAAATTATCCTCCTTACAAAATGGGTGGAAATTTGTGTTTTTCTTTTCAATTCAAAAACACCTTTGACTTATTTTCTGGCTCGACTCCAAGTTTTGCAGCTTCTCTCTCAGTTTCTTTAGGATTTGAAGGATGAAAAGCTATTACCCAACAATTACTGGTTTCAAGACAGTTAGACTTGGAATCTAGTTTCTTCTATGTCATTAGATGCCTAGAGCATATCTGATTTGTTCATTGAACAAAGATTGTTAAAACCTTTATACTGTTTTTGAGAGGACATATAAGGCATTTATGTTTTTTAAGTTGAGGCTTTCCCACTAAAGTCTGGTTGAATCTAATCCTGGACCCTGGATCTGTACTCTGTCACATTTAGAAATGCTGGTCTCAGCTGGTTAATCCGAACCCTTTTGTGTTTTTCTTCCCGTATTAAAAGAAGAGATGATCTGATGTAAGGGCAACACATTTAAGGAAAAGAAAACAAGGAACAACAAATTAAGAGCTCAAATCTAAGAACTACTTAGTTAAGTATTACATGGAATAGCTAGAAGCTGCAGGAAGAACTTCCTTTTTTGTGCTTTAAATTCTTCTTTTTTGAAACCATACTTCTGTGAAATCTGTGTAAGTGCATGGCAATCTGGTCCAATAATCTCTGAGTGAACGTTAACTGCTCCAGCATAGGTGTGACACTTTTCTCACTTTAAACAGTCTCTGGACTTGTCCCCATAAAAGACTGGCAGGATGAATGCATCCAACTCTAACACAATATATTGAATGGCAAAACTTGGATTAAACTATCCAAGAGTGAATATGTCTTAAAGTACAGTTTTATTATGAAGGAGGATTCTTAGTTTTCTCTAAGATCATATAAAAATCTAAATAATAGGGATGGAAACTGGCAAGAATTGGATCGTACAGTGCATATCATAACCCATGCATCACAATAAAATTCATCCTGATATTTGCTGATACAGTAACAAAGATGACATATTTTAAAAATGACATATCTCAACTTTGATCTCAACGTTACTCTGTTGAGGACGGTGCAGAGTAGATGAATAATAGGCTCTTCTCAACACACCGTCATCAAGTGGATGTAGTTTTAAGTGTTATACAAAAGTAGGACAATAAATTATATGTCTGCACTATGTACTTTCAATCAATACCAATATTGTCCAATGAAATATGGGGATATTCAACAGAATCAATTTTTCTTATATTGCTATATAATTAATAGCATTTTTTGTTTTTTGTTTTTGTTAAAGCTTGGAAGCAGTGAACATGATAAGCAGTATTTCTGTGGGAATGCCTTTAATTGTTGGGGTGGTGGCATGAGATGGGACTCATCTCTGGTGTCATTCTCACAAAAAATGATGCTGTTTAAAACTAAAAAGAGAAACAGCAGAATTATTTAGATCTGTCTTTATGTTACATATTTTAAATGGACACTCTTAAAACGGTATATTTGTGGGTTCTCATAGGAACCAAACACATCAATGAAAGCTTACTCTCATTGGTGGAGGTAGATCAGAGGGAAATCAGTGAAGATATTGCCAATTGAAGCCAAAGAAAGTCTGAGCACAATACCAATCTCGTAATGTGTTTAGATGTAGTAAATAGTTGCTTGGAAACAGCATCAAACTGATGGATAAAAAACTTAGTTATATGCCCTTTCTTTTTGCTTCAATGAACCCATTTTCCTTAAAATCACTACAGTTCTTCAGTCTTTTTAAAAGCCTTTAACATTTTTTTTTTTTGTGGCAGCACTTTGATAGTATTTACATTTAAGTGATCTTGCACAGCCTTTTGATTAAATTGGCATAACTAACATTTTGTTCTGTAGTCTCATTGTGAATTGCCTTAATTAAAAAAAAGACAACCTTTAAATTTGAAATGGGTTTGTTGCATATCTGCTGCAAAATATCTCATAAAACCCAACTTCTGCAGCAGGAAAATAGCCTTTAGCACTGAAAAGTACAATCTGAAACTTAGGGGGGAAAGAAATCAGCAATGCATAATTCAGCGGGCGAACATGCTGTCCAAATCCCCTGCAAAGGCCCACTTATACATATGCAGCCAGTGAGATGCACACAAAGAACATTCACACACTCTAAACACAGGATATTGTAATTGGAACAAGGTGGAGCGTGACTATGATCTCACCCCCTCCTTGCCTGTCACTCTCCCTCTCCTTCACTCGTCTCCTGCTTTCTTTGCATTTTCTTTCAATCTCTCACTTTCTCTTTCTCCAAGGTCGGTTTCATTCCCAGAAGTGTGGGGACGAAAAACGACCCCACACAAATACAGACACACAAACTTGGCATCGTCGACTGTTTTTTTTCCCGCTATCTTTAGTATTCCTTCCACCTCATTTCATCTCCAAATTTAGCACGGGGGAGTCGTTAAAAACAACCCCATGTACATTTTCTCTTCTGCAGTTTCATGTAAATGGTTTCCAGACTTGCTTGTCGCTGC